TGCGAGTGAGGTGCATACGCAGTATCAATCTTCTCATGTGCCTCTCGAAAAGTAAGCGAATAGTCGTGTTTTAAAAAATGTGGTAAAGATTTTAACTTGACCATTGCCACAGCTACCAAAGCCTAAACCTATCTGCAAACCTCTCTCATCTGTTAAAGTATTTTCTTCACATGGTCCCTCTTATACTCCAAATGTTGCAGCAGTTGGGTGTTTCAGTGCCTTCTTCAAAGGCTGGTTGATGATTTGGATCCGCCCTGATTGCGTTTTGTAGGAGTGTCAGATAAATGTGCACACTGTGTCATGGAGAAACTAATCTATATTCATGAACTTTTGTCATGAACTCTTAACTTCAAAGCAGAATGATGAAGGTGAACTGAACTCCGCAGCATCCTTCCCAAGTCAACCCATTAAGTTGTTTACTTTGCCAAGCCTTGACTCAGCTCGAGAATAGCTGGGCCGCTGCACTCGATAGTTTTTAGAAAAGAGGTTACATGTAATTTTTCTGGATATTGCAATGCCTTTGTTTATACAATAGTTTAATTAAGTGTTTTGGGAATATAGCACTGTACAACAGATTTTTTTGAACTTCTGTTGAAATAAGTGATCCACCGTTCCCTGATCCTCGTTACCACAGTCCATAGAGAATCCCTGTCAGTGGGTTCGGTGAAAAGTTGTAGTTTTATACAAGTTACACATTGTTTCAAAGTATGTCAACACTCTTGGTTTCTATTAGGAAATTTAGTATGTCATGGTAAAATAAAATTTAAAAATTCTTGAAATATTTTATTAAGACTAGTGTCAAAGGAATGCGTACACAGTTTTGACAAATTGATGTTTTGGGATATTCCTAATATTTTTTGATGTATTTTTTATTTTTTCCAGATTTCCAAAGTAAAACATTTTTAGACACATTATTTGTATCTGAAATATGACACTGTGATATGCATGTATATAGAAAAGCCTAGCCTAGACCCCTGACCCCACATTGTCTATACACAACCCAGTCTCATACAAACATTACTCTCACTATTTGTATACATTGCGTTGCTTTTTCATAGTCAAGTCTTGTTTCTGTTGTAGAAAATCTGTTTTAATACACAGAATTCACTCTGAAGAAGACTGCTGAACATATTTGCTGTTACTGATGATGTCCTTTAACTGTTGAAGGCCCTTTCATCCCTGCCAGGAACATTTCAAGTGGAATGACACACGCGCAATGAAACAATGAGGCTTGTTAATTCTCATTAAGTGATGCTTATCTGATTTTCACATTTACATTTTAGTCATTTCAGCTGACTCTTAGAAATGAGCTGACAGGGGATCAGTGTCTCACTCAAGGACATTCAGCAGCAAAACATCTTTTTGGGTTATCTGTCTTGTATCTTGACTTCCCTTTAATCCGGGAATCAGAATGGACAGAGGGCAGCCACTAACCACTTATCTCTGTATTTTGTGTGTTTGAGTGTGTGTCTGTATATGTCTGTGTACACATCTGTGTGTGTACGTCCTTCTCTTTTCCTGTTTTGTGTGTGTGTATTTGTCTTTATGTGTATGTGTGTTTTTGGTTAGAAGCTCTGCGGGGGGTGACGATGGTGGAGCTGGTGAAGAAAGAAGGCAGCACACTGGGCCTCACCATCTCAGGAGGAACCGACAAGGATGGGAAACCCCGAGTATCGAACCTGCGGCCTGGAGGACTGGCGGCCAGGTGGGTGCACCAGCAAAGCTATTCTGTAATAAATATAACATCAGGAGTGAAAAAAAACTTCCACATTTTCAAAACAATGTACATATGATTGATTCACTCCAACTGAGAGTCATTTATGCAACATTTTACATGCATTCCTTTTCTGCGCAGGAGTGACCAGCTAAACGTTGGTGACTACATCAAGTCGGTGAACGGCATTAATCTGACCAAACTGCGGCATGAAGAGATAATCAGCTTACTGAAGAACGTAGGAGAGAGAGTTCTGCTGGAGGTGGAGTATGAACTGCCCCCTACAGGTACATATTAATTCAACTCCATTTACCGTCACATCGTTTTTAGGGTCATAAAGTAAATGGCTCTGGTAAGGTCAGGTCCAGTTTGATCATTATCATTATGTGAAAAACGCCATCCTATCGGAAGACAATTTCGGATGATTCTGCAAAAACCTGGCTGACATTTAATGTTTTTAAAATCCTTCAATATCAGCACACTGCAACTATGATGGCTGGGGAAAGACTGTGGTTGTAGCAAATACACTATAGTAAGTTAGGGTGAGGGCCACTGAACACCTGGTCAGAGTTAGGTTAGGGGACATCAGGGAAAGATAGTGGTTATGGTTGATAAAAAAGGTTAATGAAATGTGCAGGTCTGTCATGGGCCACCCAACCTCCACATCCTCATCCGTACTTTCCAGCTTTCTGCCACATATAGTGCATACTACTCCTGCCTTGGCACCGAACGTCTGCACTGGATGTAAATAGTGACGTGTAGAATCGTCCAATATGAGTGTGTTTCATATGATTCTGATCTGAAAAACCACAGCCTTGTTATTAATGTCAATGAGACCAATGTTGGTACAGCAGCTCCTTATGCACAAAAAATACAAAAAAAAGGTTGTCAAATGCAAAACAACACCATCCAGCAATACACTGCATGGTGGAAACTCTACCAGGATCATAAAATGATCTTCGTCGTGGTAACATTCAAAATAATCCGAGTCATAGTATCACAAACTGCTGTGCAATGTTTGCTCATCCAAGCCTTTAAACTCTATTCCTCAAACCGTTACATGCTACCTGTAGCAATACCCCAACTAATATCGCTCCTTTGCATTTTTTAAATGCTGTGCCATTTTCCGATTGAATGCTTGCTAATACCAAGAGTACATAACAGTTAGAACTTGATGAACTCATTATCTGAAGAAGAACCAACAGCTCTTCCATGTATATGTATTTTTATTTTATTATAATTCATTTTAAGATAATAGAATTGCAGTTTTAGTAGCTACATTAACAGCAATAAAGGAGATCATAGACATCCCTAATCAAAACCCACACTGCAGACATATTGGCATTCAGGTTCAATTCAAAGTAAGTATGTGTATTTCTTGTACTGTTGCAATTGTATAGCAGTATATGAGTCATTGTTCATACTTTTTTTCTGTGTTAAATGTTTTTACTCCATATGTATGAAGCAAAAATTTGCATGAGAATAAAACTTTGAATACTTGATTATGGAGCAACAGAAGTAAAGTTTTCTAGCAAACACTTAACGGCTGTGTAAGTGTAAATTGCTTTCTCACTCTTTCACTAAATTTGATAAATTACCTGTCTCTCTCTGTCTCTCTCTCTCTCTCTCTCTCTCTCTCTCTCTCTCTCCCCCCCTCTATTTATCTCTATTTTTCTCTGTATCTCCCCCTTCTCAAAGCACCAGACAGCACCTCAGGGGTTATATCGAAGACAATCGACATCTGTTTGCACAAAGAGGGGAACAGCTTTGGTTTCGTCATGAGAGGTAACCATCATGGAATTAAGCCAATTTCTATATGTTTGGTGAACCATATGAATAGTTATGATTGACATGGCACCATGCTAAGATGTTGTCACTAAATTTAAAGACAGGATCACTGTTTCCGGCCTTAAAATATAAAGATTGCATCTTTTATTTGTGTTGGCACTGAAAAAAGCTGTGAAAGTAGGAAAAGATGAGAAATATGAAGTTGCGGCCTCTTTTTCTCTGATGTAATTTGTCTAACACTTAGACAGCTAATGGTTAACAGGAAGGGTAGGGTGATTTGAGTGTTTTATCTCATTAACTAGAAACTCTATATACTTTACATTTCTGCTGACCAAGCATACAATAACATTTTAAATTGATTCCCTGCTTTCCAGGAAGCCATCACTTTCAATTATTTTCACTGTTTAGAGAGAGAATCAACTTGTGGAGAAGGGGAAGATTACCTTTACGGTTAAAAGAAAACGTGAATGAAGACAAGATCCATCTTTTGTTTTATTATTGTTTGTCGTCTTCTAGGTTTGTACTTTGAACAAACTGCTGATTGGAATCTGACTCTTCAACCTCAACCTGACTCTTGTTAAAGAGAGTTTTCAAAACAATCCCAGCTCTAAACTGTATTACTATAGATACAGTAACATAATTGTGACCATAATACCAAATAAATTAATTCCTCACTTTGATGGATTACCTGTGATCAGCTTTAACCTGCACTCTTCTTGCAGGTGGTACCCACGAGGACTGGCACAAGTCACGCCCCTTGGTGGTAACCTACGTCAGGCCAGGAGGTCCTGCAGACAGGTAGCACTGACGGCACACTCCTGCGACCATACACCCATACAGTATAAGTGTACAAAGCCACATGTTCCAAACATATTCGCACACATATCCGAGCAATCACACAAACGCATACATTGTCAGAGCCAGAGAGAGGGATGCATGTCTATTTTGGAGGTGAAAAGGGCAATGACTTCTAAAAAAACAAGATGTCTAAAACTAAAAGGCAGACGAGAACTGGCCTCCATTGAGTTTAAACGAACAGAGGCACAGCTCAGCCAGTTCCAGTCAAGAGTCAGGGAGATTTCTCTGTGCCTTCATGCGAATAAACCCCAAGGATAACGGTGTCATTTCCTGTGACCGTCACTGGTATGTTGACAGTTATGTGTTACTCATCGCTGCAGCGGCATGAATCACCTCATATCCCTTTAATGTTGTCATCATGTGTCTGTCTCAGTCTTCATGTTTAGGAAATAATCCATGACATGTTCATGTAAATGTCAGCTTTGCGACTGTTTAACTGATGTAACGCAGCAGTGATGCAACCTGCTGGAGATCCAGTGCAGGAATTCTTACACGTTTACACTGTTAAGAATCCTCCTGGGTAAAGTACTCTGCCATCCAAAATACCATAAAATCAGCTCCAACGCTGGAACACAAGTTGTGGGCACAGATTTTCTGAAGCAGTGTTTGACAGTGACCTAACATCTACATCACAATAAATTGTCACACTTACCTTCATGAAGACGAATATAATGATACCATGTTTTCAGTAAGTCAGGCATTTATACTTTCTTCTTCATGTTTGATCATTTCTGATTTGTTGTCATAATTAATTTGTGACCACTTAAAAATGATGTACTGGACTTTGATTGGATTGTTGAGTTGTGAGGATTGTGTTGAAATGGGGCCAGCAGCCAAGCTCATGTTCCCTGAAGTTGGAAAATATTTTGATTAGATTTCTCCTAATGAAAGCATGTTAGTTTTTATTCATTAGCTTTTTTTCATTTCTGCTCAGTTCAATTGCTCAAGTATATTTATACTGTGGTATGTTTCAACCCAATTTTCCTAAGTGACTAATTAGGACAACAATTTTTAAAATTAGTTCAGTATCGAGTAAGAGAGCTACAGCTGAAAAAACTGGCTGCAGCCTATATTTTTTGGCAATCATGCACCATGAATGTGTATCTATTAACTGTGCTGGTTTTTGCCACTCAGATTGTTATTATAAGTGTCAACAATATGAAAAATTCCTACAGAGATAGACCTTTTAGTGAAAGAATAAGATCCATTTTGTTTAGCCAAAAAAAATGAACTCTTCATTCAAACTCAACAGAAACAAAATAAAACTGATCCAACAATCACCAACTTTGGTTTGTTTGAAATAAACCTGTGAATCATTGAGAAAATATTCTGGCTCTGCACACTGTTTCGCCCTGCTGCCTTTCTGATGCCCAACCTCCCTCTCGCTGCTCTCCCATATTTTCACTAATACTCTATTTGTGACACATCCCACCTCCCAAACAACAAAATCTCAGTGTTTGGCGCTAAGCTACGGATGAGCCAGCATGATGAAGTGTGTAGATTATCTCTATGTTAGGACTCAGGTCATATTTTCCAGCTGTGGATTTTTGGACTTGCGGGTGAGTGAACACCTGAGGTCTCGAGTAACAAAACCAATTTCAACACACCCTCAGTGCTTCAATAAAGCTTCATCTACTTATGCACTACACAGGGGAAGGGCTTATTCACACAGCCTCTCATACATAGAAACACAGGGAGAAATAAGTAAACTACAAAGCAATTAAAAATTAACAGACAGATACTGGAAGTATTTACATATTTTGGACCCCCCTCATTAACACACACTTTTGGCCTCTTCCACTTCCTTTTTAAGGAGTATAAGTGGCTATAAGTTATACATTTTTGTTTTACTTTTAATGAATGCAACAGTTATGGAATAATAACTATATAATTTGTGTCATGAAATCCAATATATAATGCAGTATAAAAACAGAAAACTGTCATTGTTTGAAATGTAAAAAAGATTTTAAAAGACTACTGGCACTATTACATAATTATGGGTAATTTGACAAAAGTTTATTGTCCAGCACTCATTTGAAGCTCATGTTCGCCTGAGGCTGATCTCAAAGAAACATCTGGTGGTAAACATTTGTTTGTTTGTTTTTTGCAAACTGCTGTAAAAATACTTCACACCATAAAGTTATTGCTAACAGTAGCATTAACACTTAGTAGAGTAGAGTAAATAAATAAATGGTGTTACAAATGCAGCCACAGCAGTTACTCCTTGGCACCAAACCGGAGACAAACAGAGCGGAGTGTGAAACTGCACTCTCCTCCACCATCATCATAAAAAATGTCTTGTGGAAGAATGTTCAACAGACTTGGATAATCCATGACGAGAAGCTGTTCTGGAGGCTTGTGGTAGAACAACATTTCTAAGACTCTTTGTTTCCTTCAATTTGTCACCCATTGCCAATACACAAATCTCATTGCTTGAAGTCCCATTTTTGAACAGCACGCTTTACTCACTCTCCAGCCAAGATTGGAAAAGATTAAAACATGAAAGCGTAACCCTTTTCTCTGATCACTCAGCAGCTTCAATCAGTTGACGCTAGACTTTAGAACATGGAGATGCTATTTTTATTCTAGTGGCATCTATTTGTGAAAGAATTGCATGCAGTAATAAATTAGGACACATGCAGAATAACTACATGAAACTAGCTTAACCAGTTATATTTCTACTGAATAAGTGAATGAATGCTTGTCTGAGATCTTTGACACACATTTAGGGCTTGCAAAAGGACTGTTTCAATGTGATCCAGTAATATATTTGTCAAAATGGATTGCAGATCAACCAAAACTATTGGTTTATTCTAGTTTATTCTCTACAGGTGCACACACAGATTGACAGTCTGGGACAAGACCATGATTAAATTCTATCTTACTATTGAGTTATTTTGCCCCGAAGCTCATCTAACACCATTCTAAAGAAAATCATCTTCAAAATGTGGGTCAGTCTAGGGAAACGAATGAGATATTCATGCTGCTTTATATCCCATTTATATGCCAATTGGAGAAAACTTAATCCACAGCACCATACAGTCCCAGGAGTGCCTACATTTTTAGCATTACCCAGTGGGAATTACTCTGAACTCTGAACGTGTTAAGAGAACCATACCGTTTCATGCAGGATCACAAAGAAACTTCTTTTTACCGCATCATCATATGAACAGAAAAAGACAAAGATAGAGCATGCAGGCTTTTAAAGTAGGCTAAATGTCAGTGAAGTCCTTAAGACTTTGTTTCAACCAACAACTTAAGTTGAAGCTATATTTAAAGGGGAAATTCACCCTACAACACAGTTAAATATATCCTTACCTCTTAAAATAACAACTGTCAGATTTTGAGTGTATCTAAGTCTAACAAAAGTTGTGAGCGCATTGAACATGTTGGCTTTTGAGCACAACCTGCACACTTTTTATTGGGGGGAAAAACTGCACTATCACTACTGTTCTGTCTACCTGTTTCTCGGGAAGATCCAAGGGCTTTTTCTTGGGAGTTTTGAAGCAAATCTTCTCCTCACATTTCTTCACTTCATTCCAAAGTTACTTCTTCTATATAACCTCATTCCAGCAATGATAAAGCTTTTTGGTCTGAGCTTAGCTTGCATCATGTTGTTGAAAAGCTTCAGGGCTATCAGCATCATACTTTACAACTTCTGGCTGGTATGATGACAGCTCTGTATTACTCACACTCTGGCATCATGCATAAACCATCTACCAGCAACTTAATGCAGCCCTGTGCATGAAAAATTAAAAAGGCTGCATATCCATTTTTGTAGGAATAAATAATTGCCTAAATTGTGCCATTGAGTGCCTGTACAATATCGAGAATCTATTCACTCAGAGTGCTTTTTTTCAACCAGGGACTCTTTAAAAATTACCATAATTTAAATGAAACCAGATCCCATGACGTTATGTTTAATCTCGATACTTTGAATACTGTGATGCACAGAAGTATCATCTGTCATCTTAGTGCTGTTTCCACTGTGTTTGTCCTCCACTTGAACTTGAGGAGAAACGATACTGTTCATCTCAGACAGATGAGAGGAGAGAATAGAGGAGGCTGAGATCAGAAAGACGGAGAGTAGTGGAGTTGTGGGAACAAGTAGGACAGCTAGGAAATGAGTAAGAGAAAAAATGTGTTTGGTTAGGGAAGGGAAGAAGGAAGGCACAGAGAATGTGCAGCAATAAGAAAGTGTAAATGGTTGTGTTGATGATTTTTCACCATCATTCTTTACACAGTGTCATAGAGTATACTACAACATTGATCATTACCCAGTTATACAAATAAAGCATACTTGTAAGTTTGATTTCTAAGAGAAGATCAAAGAGGAAATGTGGAAGAAAGGAAGCAGGAAGTAAAGAGAAATGCAAACTTTAGACTTCTGAGGGGGTTTGTCTCAATTCTTGAGGTTGGCTGTGTTTCTGAATTCTCTTCTCTTGTCCAGAGAGGGCACACTGCGTCCTGGTGATCGTCTCCTCAGTGTGGATGGCGTGCCACTGCACAACGCCAACCACAGCGACGCCCTCAGCGTATTGTCTCAGTGCGGCCAGGAAGCCCTGTTCCAGATAGAGTACGACGTCACTATTATGGGTGAGAGACCACACACACACACTCACTCACACTCACTCACTCACTCACACACACTCACCAGACTCAGACATGAATTAAACCTTGGGGCAAAAGTTTCTAGACTTTACCTAAATGCCACTGAAATTAAAAATTTGATGTTTTTTGTTGATGTGTTGGCATTTTCTGCTGCCTCAGGTGGAGCTTTGCCTCTTTTTTTGTGGATAACTGCTCAATTTAGCTCACCCATAATGCATTGCAGAGAATCCCCTGGTCGTTACATCTGGTGGTTGTTGCTTTTAAGGGCATTTCTGCCTCAAGCTCATCTGCTACTTAATGTTGGTGTTACAGAAAATGAAAGGTACTCTGGTATGCCACTGTTGTTTTTTTCATATGCACAGGAGCATCAGATCACAGTAAACATCAAAGTGATTTAAAATAAAAAAATGTTTTCCCCAATTAGACACAGTAACGAACGCCTCCGGTCCGCTATTAGTGGAAATTGCCAAGTCGCCAGGAGCAACGCTGGGTATCACGCTGACGTCGGCCAATCATCGAAACAAGCAGGTCATTGTCATCGACCGGGTTAAACCTGGGAGCGTCGTGGACAGGTACACACACACTGACACACAGTATATGTTTGCATACATGCAGCACAATGCCTTCGCTTCTGTATAAGGCTTAAAGCAGCAGCGAATGGACTGCATGCAGGCTGAAGGATAGGTGGAGCTTGTTGGGCTGCAGACATTACTCAAGCCTAAAACATACAGAAAAAAATGGTTTATCCATACATCCATTCACAGGTTACACTGTGTAATTAGATTTTTTCCTAAAACCTGAACATTCAACAAATATAAGGCAGTAAAAGTCAGTACTATTCTTAATAAAGATGCAAATACAATAATGAAAAATTAAATATATAATTCATACAATAGAATGAAACTAAATTTGATCCAAAGTAGGGTTAGTGCATTAATAATATAGCCATTTGCCTTGCACTTTTATTTTTTTATGGTAGACCGTAAATATGGAAAGCACAGTTCATCATTCATTCCCACACTGTTGCAAATTCAGTTTTAAAATTTGAACTACAGTATGAAAAGCAGAGACACCAGGTTGACTGTATAGCTGACGTGTGGTTTTCAAACAGAACAAAAACAAAGCAGTATTTCGGAGTATTACTGAAACAGCAAAGTAACCACTGACAGTGTTTCTTTCTCTGTTTTTGTTGTGGGGAGATTCCTTCCTTACTATCCTGGTTTCTGTTTTACCAGATGTGGAGCATTGCACGCTGGAGATCACCTGCTGTCCATAGACGGGACATCGACAGAGCACTGTACAGTCCTGGAGGCAACACAGCTATTAGCAAGCACAACAGAACTGGTGAAATTAGAAATACTCCCCTCCCATCAAACAAGGCTAACTGGGAAACAGCACGACACAGGTGGGTGTACTGGCTCTGTGTCCCTGTGCATGTCCACCAAGTCTACCAAAAAATACCTTTTGTCTTTTAGATTTTGACAAAGGAAGAGACAAATTATTAAATATGTATATTTTTCTATTGTAACTGTTTGCAACCTGATGTAACTTAATGTTCCCATCAGGTTACTTCAGGCCACGCTTGCATTAAATGATCATATCATCTTACATCTATGGAAGAATGAAAATATGCTTTCTTGTGTTTACATTTGGGATGTTTATGATGGTACTAGCTTCAGCAACCTGTTGCACCAGTGGAACACAAGATGGAGTTTAAAGTCAACACTAACTGCTACATAATAACGAGTTGGTTTCCCACTAAACTCACCAAGCAGTCCAGTTGCACCATCATTACTTACACTACATGTCATGTATTACAGCATTTGTGTAAAATGTGAGAGAAAGCAGCTGCCAATTAGTGACATGGTAAGAGACCTAACACAGACAAGAGATTGTTTTACTAAAAACTAGAACCTAATGTAAACTGTCACATGTGAACTTGTTAACATATAACATACGTTTCTTCCATCTGTCCTCATCATCTTTATTATTATCTAAATTATTTAATAATTTAGCACCCATTTGTTGATTGCTTTTGTGGTACTTAAATATGTATTTTACAGTAGTAGGCAAATTAATAACAACAACAAAATCTCTGGAAAACTTCCATCTTGGCACTAAAGATTCTGCCAAAGTCAACTCCTTAAGGGTAAGGTATACATTTTGAGTTGTATCTATAGTTGATAACTAATATCCCACACTATGTTCAAGCTGGCTTCTATTCTTCCTTTACTCCCTTATTACAATCCATCTTTGTGTAGTCATTGATAGATGTAACATCCATCTATAATAAAAATGAAATCGAGAGGATTTGCTTAGACTGTAGATAGAATATATTGCTGGATGACTGGTTAAACCACTATAACATACATTGTAGTGACAAAAGAAACTATCATTTAGAGTTAAAGCCAATTCATATCTCAGATTGGACAATAATTTCTCTTGAAGTCACTTTTAAACGTTTATTTTACAGTTATGGATCTTTATTTTTGGTCTGGAGTTTTTTCAAACACTATTGTGTGAAACCTTACTAACTGTAGGTATAAAGACCCTTTAAATAAAATCACCTGCATGTGACAATAATTAAAGTGTTATCATAATAATTATTTCCTACATTGTGGAGACTTCCCTGTTGTCTTGTAGTTGCCAGGTGTCTGATAGTAAGCAGAGCAATGTGGTGCAGAACTGACATCAATGCATTAAACTAAATTAAACACGAAAACAAAGTGTCATCATGACATCATTTTAAAATAAAGTGCAGTAATTATCCTTCAATCACTCACAAACGCAATATTTATCCTGCTATTTTCTGACTGCGCTGTTGTCGAGCAGATGGTGTGTATTAAGTTATGGACCAAATTCAAATTCATGTTGTTGTTTTTCTTTTACACCTTGTGTTGTCCTCCTCGGCAGCTGTTAACACTGTTTGATAATGTGTCAGATAAGTGATGAAACAGCTCTGTAGTGAATACATTTTACACTTGTCTGCTGCTAAAGTGATTTAAAAGTCAGGTGTGTGAGTGTGTAAGAGAGAGAGAGAGAGAGAGAGAGAGAGAGAGAGAGAGAGAGGGGAAGCAGGGAGAGAAGGAGAGAGAGCATACTCCTTTATTCAGGCATATGCATGTGTATGTCAGTGTTACTATTTCTGTATTTGTGTGTGTGTGTGTGTGTGTGTGTGTGTGTGGTCTTGAAGTTAATGAGTATAATGATCTCTAGATAAGACTGAAGCTGTTGGCTGTCAGTCTGGATTTCACAGCCAGCCCTAGAGCACGCCTAGTGCGTGTGTCTAAAACATGTTGGGTTTGTGTGTTACAGTGGGGACTGTAGCCACCAAGATCCTTAATTATTTTCCACAGATTGCCTTTTTATCCACAGTTAGCCAGCTTCTTATCGACCTGCTAAAACCCAAAGTTGTCTTTTAAGGCACAAATTACAGATCTGCTAAGTAGTTGTTTAAGAGAAGCTTTAGTTTTTATCACTCTGCTGAAAATCAGAAGAAGTGTTTAAAACTTTAAAACAACAAGTAAGGTAACTCACTGCTGCTGTAAATGCAATGTGAATGATTTCTGCCCAAGATGTTACATGTGTGCTACGTGGAAGATTTCTGGCTCAAGTATAATGCCATTTTAATAATAGAATATACTGCAGGATGCCACTGTCATGCATCAATTTCTCTACTCTCCTCCCTCGGGTAACCAGTGATTGGCAACCAATCACAACCCTGACAGGACCACGGTACAAAATAATGAATATCTTCTTAAACATTAACACTGTGTTAGTTCTTTGAATGAGGATGATGAGATGAACTTAAACACAACAATGCTGTCCAAAAAGGATACAATCAAAAAAAGACAGTAGATAGTTACAATTGTATAGTAATATATGTATTTTCATTCCTGAGCTTCATGTCGTCACACCTTCCTCAGCAGTCATCTTGGATAAAATAAGAAGTAGGGCAGCGTAAAAACGACAACAAAGATTTGTTTGGAATCAGAGAAGAAGAAAAAAATCCACTCATCCCACTGTCATTTTACCCGCCGTCCTTTCTCGTGGAACAAAGATTGAGGAATATTTTGCCTGCGACAGCAACTTTGTGCTTAATTAGTTGATAGAGTGGTTCTTCACCCGTAGCCAAGTGACGGCTTTTCATCTGCAGAATTAGTGCCAGTGGATTTACAGTGGAAGCGCTGATTCCGGCGGCTGCTATATTATCCCAGGTTAATGCCTCACAGCTGAGGGTTTTAAGTATGACAAGTGTACACACCCTTCACACACATGCAGTGACATGTGTACACACATAGAAACACATGCCTGTAAGCACACGCATGTAGAACCTGTGATAAAGCTGCCAGCATTGTAGTAACTCAGAAAAACACGTATTCATTTTCCTGCTTACTGGGAGAAATCTGTCTGTGTGTTTCTTAATGTTGTGTTTTTCTTTGACGTGATTAGAGAGTCATGAGAGAGGTTGAGAAGGCGGGATTAAAAGAAAAGGCTGATAGACACAAAATAAAGACAAATTCTGGACTAAAATAGACTAAAACCTCAGCTACGGTTCTACTTTCAATACAATTTGTGTGGGGCGGGAGTTTCATCTCGGCATGAAAACACGAGGACAGAAAGTTGAAAAGAGACGCGGCAGATGAATGAGAACTGAGTGACAGGGAGTGTAAAGACGGGATGGTATTTAATTAAAGTCATTACACCTCTCTTGCATGCTGTCAGACACTGCTTAAAGCCTGCAACCTCCTCCTGTCCTCTCCTCTCCCTCTCCTCTACACCTATTTTGTTGCATTTCCTTCCCTTTTTTTCCTCTATTCTTTTATGTCCTCTTTTCACCATATCCTCTCCTTGCCTCTTTTCTCATCTTGTCCCTATTAATGGACTCATGTCTCCCAGCTTCAATTCTAATCTATGTTGAAGAGACAAAAACAAAGTTAATTTTAAAAAAGTACTAGAAGCTGCACACATTAACAGACCACACACACACACACACACACACACAGACACACTCATGAAAGGTCGCCATCTCATCTCGTATCTCCTTCATTTGTCTCTACGAAAGCAGAATTCATTCTTTCCTTCATGTAATAATGATTGTGTGACCGCCTTTGTGTGTGACTGGCTTTGTGTGTGTGTGTGTGTGTGTGTGTGTGTGTGTGTGTGTGGTGTTTAAAAGTGAACACAGCTCATTAGGATACTGATGGCCTTGCAGGAGACCTTGCGGCCGGCCTGCCACTGCTTTATTAATAGGCACTCTGATTAAAGGTTTTGCTGTTGTGTGTGTGTGTGTGTGTGTGTTTGACTTTCAGTGTGTTACTGCAGCTTATATTTGTGTTGGTGAGCAGAGTGCACGCACACATTTTCCTTCATCTTGTGTGTTTTTATGTATCGTCTCTTATCTAAGTCAGCTGTGTAAGTGAGCAGGAGTGTGTATGCGCGGTGTCCTTTTTGTGTGTCCTGCCTGTGTACATCTGTCTGTGTGACTGCAGCCATTTCCTGCCAGCCGATCTGTCTCTCCAGTGCGTTTCACTGGACGTAATGACTTTATTTTTACTCGGGCAGGATTAGAGGAGGAAAATGTTTCCACATTTCTCAGATCTCACCCTGAGGCCGCCCAACTCTTCTGCCCCTCAGACCTCCCACCAACAGAGGAGTTTAGATAAGATGACTCACATGTCGAGGAAACAAAAGCTCTGTTGGATGGATGTGGCAGCACAGGGTGGCTTAGGATCAACTTCAGAGTTGAGATGAGTGTGTGTTAGGAGGAATTACACATGAAGCTGTGTAGCCTTGATTGTATGCTGATGCTCTCAGTGGGAGTTTCTCCAGAAGAGGTTCTCCCTGACATCTGAGGAAAAGTGACTTTGTAACAGATGGCACAGGCCACCAGCACTTTTGTGTTTTTAATCAGGCTTATATTTTGGAGAGATTGCTTTGTTGGGCTAATTAATTGACAACAGAGTGAGATAATTCCATATGATATGCTAATGAGTTACATCTTCCCAATTGGGAACAGGTGTATTATAACTCTATGCACATTAATCCTCTCTCTGTACCTTTTGTGAATTGCGGATGATTTATGGACTTACAGAGATTTATGGGGTGAGGTGGGAACACAGTCTCATATCAGATCAGATCATACCTCTGCCTTCTCCTACCAAGGGATGGGAGCACGACCTGTGAAAGTGGCCTTGGATAACGTACAGTAGCATACTAAGCTACACACCGCTGCACAGTCTGAACAGCTCTTACCAGTACCTACTAATGAGATTAGGCTTGTTTTATTAAAGGAAAGGCAACAGAACGTTGTCTATATCAAAGTCCCACATCACTTAACGCTAAGCTAACTTTGTCTTTCACTGTCATCGCTTGGTTGTAGAATGCAGAGCTCGAATGATATTCAAGTTTTACATTTTAGGAAAAATGTGGGGAGAAAATTGACACCACTCATGTAGGTAGAGTAAATATGAAGGCTTCACCAGCAGCTGCATGGCTAACTTAGCTTAGCATAAAGACTGGAAACTTTGGGGAAAGGCTAGCCTAGCTCCGTCTAAAGGCCGGATTTAGAATGATTAGAAACCGGCTCTGCAAATGGATTCAAACTATGTTTTGTTGAGAAATACTGAACGCAATTTTTTCTTCTTCCACAGGGCTCCTTTTAAAGTTAGAATAACTGAGGGTGTTAGACATGTTAAGTTTAGACATGTTAACACACCTTACAGTAAGCTTCTAGGAAATGAATGCAAGTCAAAACACTGTCCTCAAAAATAACACAATCATTTGTTTGTGTTTCAGTGAAGGTTCAGAAGTCGGACCACCCCCACTCCTGGGACCCCTGTGTGAACTACTGTCACCCTCCAAACTCCACCCTCTGCAACACAAGCTCCACCCTCAACAAGTCGTGGACGGCCTCAAATAATAACACCATCAACAACCTCGACTACTGCAAGTGTAAGAACACACTTCCAGACTTCTTTTCTTTAATAATTCTTTAATGGTGATATTCTTTTGCCATGTGTTAGTAAGGAAACAATCAGCATCATCTTTCTTTTCTCTCACTTTTTGCAGCTCTGGTATCTGCTAGTTTCTCTCCCGGCTCTACGACTACATCAGGCCCCAGTAGCCAGAGCTCCAGCACCCTACCCAGGCCTACAGTTCCTATGAGTCCACGTAATTCGCTGCTGAAACGACGGCAGAGGAAGAAAGAGCACAAAAGCTCCTGTAAGCTCCATACGTCTGTTTGTACAATGATATCATTTTTCAGAATTGTCATTAATAATCAAATAATCAACATTGCTTGTGTATCTGTGTGTGTTTAGTGTCTCTGGCGTCCAGTTCGGTGGGTCCAGGTGGTCAGGTAGTTCATGTAGAGACCAGTGAGATCGTCCTAACAGGCGACCCACTCAACGGCTTCGGTGTCCAGCTACAGGGAGGAATATTTGCCACCGAAACACTGTCTGCACCCCCACTTATCCGATTCATAGAGCCCGACAGCTCTGCTGAGAGGTGAGCACACACGTTCTTTAGTTCTTTACCAACCTGTTTACTCTGTGAGGTATAGCCGTTCAACATTGGCAAGAACATACTGAAGTATGAGTTAACAATTGTGAAATTATAGTTTGAAAGTCAAAATGTTGATGATACACAAGCTTGTATGTTGTTTAATGTTGTTTTCTAATGAACTATTGGGTAGTTTAAACATATTTTATCAGGCTATTTTTACTAAAAGCAGGCCGGAAAAATGTGTTGCGATAGTAGTAAAGCTAATGTTATGGCTTTGTGTATGTCTGTACACCCAAACACACACATGTGCGTACATGTACTGACTTTAATGCTTCATAAGCAGCTTTACTTAGCTTTCCTGTGTGTATTTGAATGTCAGTGTTTGTGTGTATGGATGTGTGTGAGACTGAAGTTGGTGGTGTATTAACAGCTCTGCTCGGCTCTGTGTGATGTGTGGGTGTATAAACATTTTTAAGCATTCACTGTATGCACATGAGTGTAGGTGGGGGTTTTCAAATATCGACATGCAAGTGATTGTGTGTTCACAATCCACTGCTGGTTTGCATTGTAATTCATACATATCTGTTCACAACTTCATTTAAGTCTCTGAATTTATGTATCGCATTGTGTGTGTATGTGTGTGTTTACTGATTGATGTTCCCGTTGTATTAACAGCTTCTCTAAGTGCTGGGTGTGTTTCTCCACCCCGAGGCCACACTCCCTTCTCCATTAGCGCCCACACTAACAACACTAATTAGCTAGCTTCCCCTCGCCCACGCTGGAGGAATCGATAAGTTCCTTCCTTCCTGCTTGACAGGGTGAATCCAAATAAACCCCTCCACACAACCCTGAATTACACATAGCCACAATTTATAGTCTCTAAAACCATAAGTCTAGTGCAGGAGTGACCAGCGAGTACATCCTCCTTTCAGGTTTTAGCCTGCACTTATCCTGCATTAGTGCTGCTGGAAGTTTTTTTATAAACGTTATTTAGTATCATTTTAAATATATTGTAGCAGTCCTCATATACTTCTCATTACAACTATTGAATGAATAATTTGCAATATTTCATCTAAACTCTTATATTTTGCTACAAAAGCTAAAGTTTCCAGCAGTGAGCCACTTGCCAGTAGTTGCTGTGTACACCAAAAACCACAAGAAGGCATCTGTGAGGCATGGAGCCATTATCACATTCCACTTTTACAGTTTTTTTGACGGAAATATACAGTGAGTAATTAAATTAGGTAAGATGCTGATAAGTAAAAGAAGGATGCTAAAGAACAGCACAAAGTAACTTTTGCAATGCAAAATGGAACAAAATAGCAAGGAATGATGCGTTACCTTTAATGCCAAATTTACGATAAGATATTAGCAATTAAGAATTGGTTGTAGATAATGTTTCAACAAGTACACAGTGCTTTTAGTAGCAATGACCAGCTTAAGTACCAGATTCTTTAAGGGAGTTTGGTGACAGATCATTAACTGCTACACTTACACTTGTGGCCTATACTTGTGCTCACTCAGGGATGCTGAGCTGAGGGAGCACGGACACAGACAGACCTCTGCATTTATCTATACTCGTCCTGACTGTTCCAGTTCAGAACCGGTTCCAAATTGTCCAGTCCATCGGAAACGGATGCCTCTGAGATTATAAATTCCTTTTATAAATAAAAATAAATAATATAAATACATTTTTCTGACAGTTGTGCATCGCGAAACAATGTCGCTAAACTCATTCGTCAACACTACGGAAAACTTGCGACAGGAATAAACGGTCCAAAGCGCGCCTTCATGTCACGAAGCAACCCAGATTACTAGAACTGTATTCTTTTTCTACACTGTGTTAAGCGAAAGAGATAATAATACAGTTGCGTTGACGATAAAAACCTAAAAACTGACCAGGAAGCAAAAAGGAGGATTAAAGAGCATTCTTCAAACTGTACAAAAAGAAAGAAAAGAGAGAAACGGGAAAGAAGACACATTAACTGGTAAATCCTGAACTCAAAATGGGAAAGCGAGGTGACAGTGAGAGAGGGCCATTTAATCCTCAGTAGATCATAATGAAGATGACTGTATATTAATTCAGGTCACCCACTCGTAGCTTAATGGAGGATATAACAACTGTGTGTATGTGTGGGTGTGTGTGTCGTATTCATACAAGTGGAAATTCTAAGTGCTCTGAAAATCCAAAGGGTAGCAACTGCATGAAGGTGAGGCCCAGTTAAAGTGAGACAGATCACTTCATCTTCATTTTATCCTGTCAGAAGTTTCCTTGGTGCAGAAACTGCTGTTGATTTTTGACCCTTACGCCAAACAAAACGGCAGTAACAATCACATTATCTACTTTTCCCCATTAATTCATTATAGCAGCAAAGTTTCACTGGGTGCACAGAACAGTGCAGAGGGTTGGTCTACATGTGCCAGGCAGCTCAGTCTGACTAATGTTCCACCTTACTATAATCTTCCTGCCTAGATCGTGGTTATTTTTAATTTGTGTTGTGCAGTTCGGACACACAGACAATGAGGTTTTCATCTGCCATTGATCGCAAGTCAAATCATCTGAATATAAGGTCAAAGTTGAAATTGTTTGACTATGAGTGGAGCAGCAAGACATCCAAGGGCCATGCTATGCCAAAGGACAGCACTGCCGCAAGGTTCAGCATCTTCACGTTTTACATTGCACATCAATGGTTCCTGTCGATGTCGAGTGAATGCTACATCGAGTGAGGGTAGCACTGCTGTAGTACTACTTAGTTTGTTCATGGGCCAACAAATCTCATTTGGTCAAAAGCATCTGCCAAAAGAATAAATGTAAATGCAATTACCAAAAACAGCCATTAAAAAATTGCATTACCAGGAAAAACAATTACAGCAAGCAAAACAAGCACACTATGATTTATGAGATTTGTGCAGTAATTATTTTTGTAACATTCATAACATTAAGAAAATTGCTTGCTTTTTGCCCAACAGCAAGCCTGTAACCAGAAATACAGGCTTGCTGTTGGTTCTGCTCTCTGTTTTTGAACATGGTTGACTTCCACCTGAATGGGGAAAAAAAACAGCAAAAGTGCCCTCTTGGATGCCGCTCTGGTAGATAAAACATGATCAATTGCCCTCTAGGTTGCCCTTCCACTGGACAAAATGCTTGGCTGCCCTACATGCCAGAAAATGAGTTCTCTCTACGTGCCTCTAAATGGTTAACGAGTTAGTACTGTTGTTCCCTGTGTGGTTTTTATTCCAGAGGTGTAGTAGTTAGTCTGAGTCACATAATTTAACATGTTTAATCCCATCACCACTTTCTGCATGTTGCTGTCCTGCCACATGCAGCCTCTGCCCCTCAGAAAGCCTGAGTCCATCACTGTATTGTGCATTAGTTTAATTAGGACATATGTTAGTGGTTTGTGCATTTGTTGCAGTTTAACAGTTGTGAGCTACATTAAATACACATAAAAAGTCAAGCCCTCTGTTTACCGCAGAGCTTAAATAGTTAGCAAACTGTCTAGCTTTAAACAGAACTTGTTGAAGACTTTATATTGTTCTTTGTGTGTCTGGTGATTCTAAGCTTGTTTACGCAAACCTTGTCACAAATACTGCCATGTATAAGTGGAGTGACTTGAAAATGAAATGCAGTCTGAAAGGCTAAGCTTCTAAAATTGCTTGAATTCACAGGCCAATATCAAAGGACCGAATGACTCCTTCATAATATACCTCTATTTTGCCAAGGAAAGGTATTTACATGATTCATGACTTTAATAGTCAGCGCTAATATGCTTTGCTTTCGTTCCAGCGCTGATTTATGTAGTGAGGAGCCAGGATTGGGGGTTTCCAAATGGTGGTTGTTTGGGAAATAGAAATCTTTAATATCTAAACAGCAGCTTTGGAAGCTACGGTAGCTAAAATTAATGTGATATGTAACACAGCAGGGAGTCTGAAGCTCCTTCTGGTGTCATCTGTCTTTGTAAAGTGAATTAAAGGAAAAACACATCCCAGGTAGGGGGCTGATGATTAGTACACCTACATGATTGAGTTTTTCTTTCCCCTTTGGGAGCATTTTAACCCTGCAGGTAATCGTATTGAAATAGGCACAGAAAATAGCTACATAATCGTGTTTTATTTCAGGGTGTGGAAATATGATGTAATGTACACACTTGAGAAAGAAGTTGGATGTATTTGGAAACTTTCCTCTTCCTCTGCTTGACAAACCTGATGGTTCCTAATTGATCTCATCTATTAATGACTTCATAAAGTTTGGACTTAGATGAACCCAAATTTTAGGCCCAAAACCGATCACAGTCCAATCAGAAAAAATGTTTCTTTAAAAAACAATCTCATACTCTGCCTATGTGGAGCCATAGTGAAACCAGAACTTCCAGATTCCGTTCAGAATTAGGAAAACCTCATTCAAAATCACATTTATAACCCAAAACACTGAAAATCCAGCCCTGAAATCAAAGGACAGAAACTGTTAAATTGGCTGCGTACTGTAGCTGTAGTTTGATGAAAGCAGGGTTCAGGCATCAAAGCACTGAAACTGTAAAACATAGTGATGTTTAAGCAGTAAATATCCAATGTTTCAGTCTTTCTGACATCACCATGGTAACTCCTGTTGTAGGTGTGGACTGCTGCAGGTCGGAGATCGCCTCTTGTCAATCAATGGAATCCCCACGGAAGATGGAACACTAGAGGAGGCCAATCAGCTGCTCCGAGATGCGGCGCTGACCAATAAGGTCACATTGGAGATCGAATTCGATGTAGCAGGTGTGTGACATTCACAAAAAGTTCAACATTTCTCCCCCTGGTATCATTACACTGATATATCTTCACAAGATTTCTACCATAATTAACTGACTTAGTACTCTCTATTGTGACAGTGAGACTTTATTATAGCACATGTCAACTATGGGATGTTGTAAATGGTGTCTGACACCTGTTGATGCTGACACATGCTGATGTGTGCCTCATTACTGAGGGTTAGAAACATTTTATATAGCAGCTGCTATACACGGTACATTCTTTATTAGCGAGCAATTAGCAGTTTTGTCACAGAATGTACTTGCACAGACAGGATGTACTGGTCATACTCAATTGCTGAGAGCTTTTGACTGTGCAGGCAGGGGTGGACAGAATAATTACAGCTCTTCCCTGAGGGGCATGGCCCCATCTACATGCTTTTAACCCCATGAAAATGTAACAACCACAAGGATAACCTACAAGCTCAAAGCTGCGTATTACTGTTCTGATTTCTATGTTGAAGAAAATTCAGATCCCATTGGATTCTGAAATAAGTTTCTGAACTCAAACTCAAACAGATTAAAATCTAGCCATGGTTTTGAAAGGTGAAATTAATATTGTATAATTGAATTTGTTTTTAAGTGAATCTGCGGATTTTCTAACATTTAATGGGTGGGAAGGAACAGCCTGGTGTTTTTCATTACTTTTACTGGTTAGCTTTTGAATGATCATTCCAAGAGAAAACTTCACTTGACCTTGTTTTGTTAAAGTTTCTTTACAGGTTCCCTGTGGAATTTCCTTGCAAAGAAAAGTTATGTTTACATTCAATGATACTAACCAAAACACACTGTGTGTATCCTTGAGCCATGACAAATGTATTGAATGCATTTACTTCCTCATAAACATTGTAAAGCCATTTTTTTTCACCTGCTAGCAGTCTTCCTCTCCGCTGTCTTTTCTAGTGCATTGCAGCATACCTTGGCATGTTACTGAAACATGTAGATCAGTGGAATAGTGTGACAACACTGGCAGCGGTGTGTATCGCGTCACCGGTGTGTGTTAGCGTGCATGTGGATCTTTATGTGCTTGCACAAGAAAAACAAAATGGCGACCCCATGCATAGAGAAGCAGCTCCATCGTGCTACTAGAGGTCAAAACTCCCCGGGGAACTTTTATGAGTGAGAATGCTCGACTCAAAGGAGGCTCCTCAAACTGTAGATGCACTTTAGAAAACAATATACATCCACCCTTTAAATAAAATTATTATTATCCCAAGACATTAAAAAAAGTTCAGTCATGGAACTCTCTCATTCTACACTAGAATGAATGGATTTATATTTGGTTGATTAGTTTTATTAATGTGGTTGCATCCATTTAATAACACAATAAACTGTTAAATACATAGTTCACTTTAGTTACTGAGAACATTGGGTCTGTGGACTGAAACAACCAACATTAACTGTCAACAATGAACTTCTATGAAATCATTAAACACTTTTTTTTTCCTTTTATATAGTTTTGCAAAAACTTTCAGAATCAACATTTTTAACTTATGATCACACTATGAGAGGCTTGGGTTTTATTTCACTTGATTTCAGCAGTATAGTACATTATGTTTTTCCACTGTTTTGGATTTGCCTTTCATGAGGTTGCATCATTTAATGAGTTATCGCAGCCAGAAAGTAATTCTGAAATTAGCATTCGTACTATAAACAGAGAGAAATTAGAATGATTTCTTACCCTATCATTAACCCCAAGATTCGATGCAACCAACTCCCAAATATAATATTAAGACTTTTACTCCTGAAGTCTTTCAAAATAAGTGAGGCAGTTCTGAATGGAATAGACTCATCATCCACTTTCTGTAGCTGTCAGGCACAACACTGATGAAATTAAATCACAGGGAAATCTGACTGATGAAGAGCTAATGGTGCAAAAATGTTCATTGCCAAATTTTTTATGTTTTTATTCAGATTATCTGAGTCTTTTCTCGCTCAGCTCTTGAGGAAACAGAAGAACATGTTTGCAGTGTCAGTGAATAATAAGAGCTTCTTGGTGAGTTTGAAGGAGTCTGAAGTGAGGAGCTGATCCAAACAGCTCGTTAAAACGTCTTAAGTGGTTGCTCTGCTCACAACTTGCACTCGCCATGTTTATGCCTGGACGTGGAGTTGTTTTACTGGTGGAATTATTATTATGACTCATGCAGGCAAACACTGAGGATTTGAAGCTGCTGTTTGCCCCAGAGAAGAGCAATTCAGAGGAGATAAGAGCAAGAGCTAAATGCCTTGTAATTACAAATGTTAAGCGGGCTGAGAAGAATTATTTGTTGCTTTTTTTTAATATTAATGGCTTTTCTGCGTGTGTTTAACACTGTGTGTCTGTGTGCTTGTATCACAGAGTCTGTGGTGCCTAGTAGTGGCACTTTCCACGTCAAACTGCCGAAGAAAAGAGGAGTGGAGTTGGGGCTCACCATCAGTGGTAGGAGCACTCAAACATTGTTCATATAATCTATGCTTTGTTAAAGGCTGCTGGCAGAATGTTTAAATGTCATGAGACCACTATGTGCTTCTTCAGAAACACACTCACACACACGTATACACATGTATTTGTCAGGGTAACTGTAGCCTGCAGGAAAGCTTAGCTATAAACATCGACAATGTTTATACAATGGTATAGATACCAGGCCACACACAATTTTTCACATTTCCTGTGGCCTGCCACAGTTTTATAATGAACCGAGAATACTTTTACACTTCTCTCTATCACTCTCACTCACAGTAAGTATCCTCGATCGATCGAATTAACCAGTGGACAATCTCCCCTCGTTCTGCCCCGCCAGTCCAGTGACAATTGCACATGCTCTGCAGAGAAGCACCCCCTCCCCACGCAGCTTACCTGCTGCTTTAAAAAGTGGAATCACGGGTGATAAAAATGTGCTTAAACATGACTTGTAATTTTTGGCTGACTTTTTAAAACATACTGCGGAAGAAAGTCAGCTATACCAACAAACTGGTGTGTGTGTGTGTGTGTGTGTGTGTGTGTGTGTGTGTGTGTGTGTGTGGGAGAGAGAGAGAGAGAGAGAGAGAGAGAGAGAGACCCAGACCAGAGTAGGTAGATAGAGTAGGTCTGTGTGGAAAAGAGTAGGGAGGGGAAAAGCAAGGTGAGCAGATTAAAGTAGTTTGTGAGTTAAGTAGTTAATTAACTAAATAAGAAAACAATATATTAGAAAGAGGATTACTGTTTTTGTAATGTTCAAGTGTTTTAACAAAGGACTGTATGTTTTAATACATGGGATGTATTCTTTCATTTTTGTTTTTTACTGAATTGGTATCGTGAATCGTGGAATTTAACTCGTATTGGTATCGGCTACTAACTTTCTGGTATGATGATGACATCCCTACTGTGCAGCTCCATGAAGAAATGATTTTCCCAGTGGAACAATTTGAGTGGCCTGCACAGAGCTCTGACCTCAACCCCATCACGAGTCAGGCCCAATCACCCAACCTCAGTGCCCATTCTCACTGACGCTGCTGCAGCTAAATGGGAGCAAATTCCTGCTGCCAGGTTCCTAAAACCTTTGTTCATCTCATTCCAAAAGCATTGGCAACAATCTACTGCTATAACAGCCTCCAATGACATCAATGACCATCACATATGATTGTCATGTTCGGATGCACACATTACTGTAAATGGGTGTCCACATATTTTTGTCCTTATAGTGTTGACAACCATGGATTATATGAAGTTTTTTGCAAAATGTAGAACTTGATTTTGGGCAATTGCCAAAATGTCATGCAGAAAGATCTATGTATTTTAAACAAAGTGGAACCAATCTATAATGCTGTTATTGTTTGGTCCAATAAACAGCTTTATTGTGATGATTGATAAAGTTATTAATTCACTGTAAAGCTTTAGTGCTGCTGTCAAGAGAGTGAGTAACACACTACAGTCAGAATGACCTACATTCAATGTTTAATTATTATTAATCTGGAATGTGTGTATACTTTAGTGTGCCAATATACACTGTGTCATTTAAAGAAGCATGAGCTCAGTAGCAGGTAGACTGCTGAACTTGGCATATTTTTAAATATTTGGAGTAAAGTCTAAATACTTCAGAGGGTATTACAGAGATTGAGACTGGCTGAGATCGTGTGAAAGCGTTCACACTCTCTGGTCTCTCTGTTTCATTTCAATTAAGCAGCCCCAGGCCAGTCCAGAGTATACTGCACAGTTACTTACTTGCTTAAATGTGTTAAACTAAAATAATGTCGAACTGGAGGTTGCCTGGGAACGGTGTAACCTTCCTGATTAAATAAAAGCTTTAATTAAGTGAAGTGTTTTGGAAGAAAAAGGTAATCCCTAACAATTTGATATAAAAGTAAAATATTACTGGTGTATGGATAGTGTTTGTATGCACCAAAATGAATATTACATTAGTTTCACTGAACAGTGCCACTGTATGAATCACAGGCTATGCTGTGGCTGTCTCTGAGGCAGCGAATGGTGCAATGGTGCCATCTTCTGAATGGAAGAGTTCATTGCTGAAAGTCAGCCTACAGGGCAAAAACATCAAACCATTTTCAGCCTCAGTCTCAGTGTCCGTTCAGGAGTTTAGAGTTGTGATGAATGCAACTACGTTTAATGTTTTATTTAAAGAATGATTTAGTACAGATTTACCATCCTTCCTTCCATTTCCTCCAAATGAATAAAACTTGATAATGTAATTACTGTTATTGTGTTACTGTGACAGTTATTGCTTTTTTATTATCATTATTATTAATGATTTTATTATTCTTATTATTCTTATTTGACAGCAATGTTATATATACGTACTTTTGTCTTGTTACTGCTGCTGCTAAGTGTGATGTCATCTCCTTCCACAGCCAGTAAGAAGCCAGGAGAGCCCCTCATCATTTCTGACATCAAGAAGGGCAGCATGGCCCACAGGTATCTTACAACGTCTTTATATAATATTCCTCTGTCCGTGTAACTTGTGAGTTTTTTCTCGTGCCTCCATTTATCTCTTCTAATGTATGTAGTGAAGTCCAACTCTGTTGTTAAGAATGTCATACATAATATGTACAAGAAAATTCACAATTCTTTATTACTACTTTAATGTATTACTATATTATCAGTATATATATACTTACTTATTACAAGTGCTGCCTCATACTGAGCAAGATAGTCAGCTTGTTGTTTAATAGGTTCGTTCCACTCTGGTAAGTACACTGCGGGTTCTGTGAGTACAGTTTGGCAGAAAGTTGACGAAGGACACTGTCATATAACCATGAAATCTGGTTCTGCCTTTATGTCTCTGTCACTTTCTTTCTCTCTCTTTCTCTCCTTCAGAACAGGAACATTGGAGCCTGGTGATAAGCTGTTGGCCATCGACAACATCAGACTGGAGAACTGTTCCAGAGACGATGCGGAGCAAATCCTCCAGCAGTGTGAGGAACTGGTCAAACTAAAGATACGAAAAGACGAAGACAACTCAGGTATATATGCAAGTTAGGTGGTAAAGTAGAGGCTTCTGGACTTTGTTGTTGAAACACATTTTCTGATTTGTTTTATTTGATTGAATAATGTTCATCAGCTCAGCATCAGGCATCAGTTCAGGGAGCTGCACTAGCAGTGTTTGACCACTGGGTGGTGCTGCTGGCCAACTCATGGACTTAAGTTGCTGCTCTGAAAAGGTCATTCAAGATGCATCTTTATGGATTTATTGGGGAAAGAGAAACTATTGGAAATGGGAACGAATAAATCCAGGATGAAACAGTAACAGTTATTATACAACCAAAAAAAAGGAACAAATAAAGAAAACCTGCTGGTGTAGTGGTCTAATACCATGAACAACATGTAGCATCCTTGATTTTGTAAGTCTTAAAACAGGATCGTTGTGCTCAGTGACAGAGCTTGGGTTTGTGTGATTCTGAATAATGGATGCATCCAAGTCACCAAGACATGTCACCCTGTTCCACTGTGTTTTGATATGATGTGAAAAAATACACACTCACACACAAACACAGGAAGAGATTGTGTAATCGTGCTATTATGACTCAGAAGGTATATTCACATGCAAGCACACACACACACACACACACACACACACACAAACACACACACCCCTATACATACACATACAGGGAGTAAAATGCAGAGATTATATGTTCATGGTACATGATGACAAGGCAGTCTTCTCACTGGTTACCATGGAAACTGTGTTCTTCCTCACTACTGTTGTCTTGACAAGAGTTTTGACCTACTTCTTGAAAGAATTGTGAGTGTGTGTGTGTGTGTGTGTGTGTGTGTGTGTGTGTGTGTGTGTGTGTGTGTGTGTGTGTGTGTGTGTGTGTGTGTGTGTGTGTGTGTGTGTGCGCAAACATTACAAATTAACAGGTAATGTGATGCAGTATCACCTAGTAAACTAAAGTGTTTTAGTGTGTGTGTGTGTGTGTGTGTGTGTGTGTGTGTGTGTGTGTGTGTGTCAGATGAGAAACATACGTCATGCAGTATCATCTGCTCCTTGGAACTGAAACATTAGAATAACCTGTGTGTGTCTGTGTGTGTGTATCAGATGAGCAGGAGACGTCTGGCAGCATCATCTACACAGTGGAGCTGAAGCGGTACGGAGGCCCTCTGGGTATCACCATCTCAGGCACTGAGGAGCCTTTTGACCCCATCACTATATCCGGCCTAACCAAGAGAGGCCTGGCCGAGAGGTACATGCTCACTTTCTCGCTGGCACACACACACACACACACACACACACACACACACACACACACACACACACACACACACACACTTCGTTTTGTAAATCTAGGTTACCAGTTTGAGTTGTGGAGCATTAAGAAATGCACTGCAGCTGGAGAGTTTTAGATTGTTCTGTTTTTACATATTGTAATATTTTGTCTGTACAGGAGAGAAATAAATAAATTACACAAAATCCTGTGAGATATGTTGGCATCGTTTCGACATGTTTTGACATGTAAGCAAGTTACTCCAAAATAAAAGACAGATGATGAGAATCAGATGGGAAAATTAGGTGAGGCCGGCAAAGAATAATATTAATGGTAGATTGCATTACCACCCATAGTTAAAACCGGACGGTGTTACGTTACTCCCTCACACAAGGAAAAAAACAACGAGACTAATAATTAAATAGTTGCATAAAATAATATACACTAAATAATTATATTAATATATTTGTATTCCTTTATTTACAATCATTGCCTATAGCAAAATATTATTGTGTGTTTAGTTTTGCCATCCTGTTGTTCCATTGGTCTGCCATCTATAACTATACTCTTTTAGACATGAGTGGTTTATGACACAATGTAAACCACGTTCTGTCTGTTAACTGAATGGCTATAAAAAGTTCTGCATCATCATGGTTGATAAGCATTTTCTGGCCATTTGAAATCACCAAAATATCTTATTTATAATTGTGCCTCATCTGCATTCAAAGCACCAAACATGTAAAGAATTACACTCCAACACAATTTGTGCACCATCAGTAGTGCTGATGAACCAGTATGAGTCGTCATTCGCTGTCAGTTTGGGCCTGCACAACATCCTACACAACATCAAACAACTCACCTTCAGCTCCACTGGGGCTTTACAAGAGATGTTATGTGGGTGTACATTATGTTCTTTGTTGGGCAGGTGAGCTCACGCTGCCAATCTACACAGCAAGTAGGAACACTTTGTCCCTTCATACAAACCTTGTTCTACTGTGTGGATTAGGCACGTACAAGTTTTAAATTTATGTCTACAGTCAGCATAAAACATATTTAAACATCACTTTTTCATTATTTCATATTTAGAGTGGTTAGTGAATTTACCAGTAGAAACATGTGATTCCTAAAAACCCTCAGGTTATCTTTTGCAACATAGGTTTTCCTCTGTGGAGGTTTGTGTTGGCTGCAGTTCAAAATTTCCACAGCATCATGTTTCACTGTGTCTCACTGGGTGGCGGTTGGATCTATTAACATCTTTGAAGTTTTTGTTGGATTTAATTCTGTAAATTACGTCTCCAAGGCTTTTCAGTACTTAACAGAGTACTTAATTCTGTATGTACTGATTGATTAGTTCAATCTGGGAAACCATTTATGTATAAAGTCTTTTGGTTTAATTAAGGGCCATAGAATTAAAAGTGTCTCAATTAAACTTAGTTTCTGAACATGTAGACACATATATACATATTGTCTATCCACCTAATTAGCTCTGGTTTTTGAACCGGTTCTGCTCAAGATTCTTGGAAATTTGGCGCTATCTAGCGAACCAGCCAGCATTTCCACCAGTTTTGAGCTGAGCCATTTTAATCAAGGCTTTGTGCGTCATCAACAGATGTTGCACACATTGTTGCACAACGCGCAACAACCTGTACAATATGACACGCCTACTTTGGGTTCCAAGGCGAAACTGGTATTTGTTCTGTTTCCTTTTTTCTGAAGCACAGGATATTTTTCATGTCTGTGCTTGCATTACATGTTACATAAACCCAATGGTCACAAACCTTAAAAGAGTCCGAAACGATATATTGTGAATATAATCAAAACCGGGATAAGACTCATGAACAGGATTAGGGATGTCACAAGAAGTGATACTTCGGTACCAATTCAATGACAAAATGTAGAAAACTTGATGATACTTGCTTTTCTACAGTACCTTATTACAAAGGATGCAAAACTTTTGTGCATAGTGCTCTGTCGTCTCTGCTGTGTGTGCGTGCACTTTCTTAATGCAGTGCAGATCTACCTGTATTATTAGGGAAAATACAGTAATATTGGATCCAGACTCTGTATCAGCAGATATTAAAGGAGGATGAAACTTTGGGACATTTTTACCATGGTATTGAATTGGTATCGAAAATTGTGGAATTTGGCTGGTTTTGGTATCGACTACTACATTTCTGGTATTGTGACATCCATAATCCAGATTCAGTCAGGCAGTTGATAGTTAGACAAAAGAAAACCACCCTGACAGTGTGAACCATTTTTCCATCCGTGGTTAGAATAACAATTATCCTCTTTGGTGTCAAAGGTCTTGACTGTGGATCAAGGGTCATGACCTTTTTTCTTTTTTGTCACCTGGGAGCAGAAGCTGATTTAGAACCAATACAGCTAGAATGGTAAATCCTATTCAAAACAAAGCTTTGTCTGAAGTAAGTATTATGTCCGCCATGCCTAAGCCTGGAGGGGATCATGAGTTTTGTTGTGTATGCGCGCATGTATGTATCAACATCCTAATTTTCACACCGGACTAGTGATGCACAGATTAACAGTGGATGGATCACAGGTGGGTGAATCAGGATGAAGCGAGACGCTTCCAGCAGTGTAACTTCATTGATTATTTAAATCTACAGACACGCCGATGTTCCTCGTTCTTGTACACATCCAAAAGGTCACACACACAATTCAGATTCATACAGCGAAATTGTTTGGAGTAAAGCAGCCGTCCTCCTGATAAATCCTCAACTCCATCAGAGCTGTCTAAAAAAAGTTATTTCAGAAGCTAAAAGTTTAATTCAGTTTTTTCTGTCCTATCAAGTTCATAACTACAGCTTTTTGCTAGCTTTTGCCACTTAAATATTAAACAGTATTTTCTGCAGTGACATAACTTTGCACATTTGAAATCACTGAAATCTCTAATCACTCAAAAAATCTTTAAAACACTCATACATCAATGCAACACACAATAAAGAAACCAGAATTTAACAGGCAGTATAGCCTATACACGGACTAAATAAGAGATAATAATTTGTTTGGGTGAGTGGCGGATAGAGGATTTGTGTGCACGTGAATTCGGATGACATCAGAGACGTGCTGCACATCACTACCCTAGACACACTTGGTGGAGATCTGCACAGATGAAGGAACCGGCTTATGTTGCCTTATTTAGTCCTCCCCAACAGTGGGGTAAAAACCTTATTAGGAGAAATAGTAGAGGACGCCTTGGGCAATAAATAGAGGGATTCCCCACCAGCAGCAGTGTGCAGCAGGTGCAATGTGACATGGAGTGATGACAGATGAGATAATGAGAAACATGATGCATGGAGAGATGGGAGAGCAGCTAGTGTCCACAGCAACAAGAACAGAGGATGACATAATGGTTTTCCTGAGTCATAACTGTCCACTGGTGAATTCAGCTTACATCCGGTCCACCACACAACATTTCAAAATAAAATGTCAGCTTATAATGGGCTCACGTGTTATTCCACCAAAACACACCCAGGGAGACAGTTTACTGCTTACCCTGCCCCACTTCCACACACCCACACTCTGTGACCCCATTTCTTAGGAGTTTGTGATGTAATTGTTCTACTTCCTGTCCTAAACTGTTGTCGATAAAGCACTTTGCCTCAGACCTCTTGGCTAAAAGCACTCTATAAATAAACTTTCAAGCTCAGCTTGACACAGAAGAAAGTGCAGGAATACAGTTGATATCAACATCAGATATATCTAGGTAGCTGGTGAAAAGTGTTCACACCGACCCAGTTTTTCTTTGAGCTGTTTGAGTGCTTTAGTTTCTATTAACTTGGTTTGATAAAATCAAGAAAACCATCTCTCTCAAAAACACACACTAAAGTAAATACGTTATATGGGTCTGTGAGTGTGTGTGTGTGTGTGTGTGTGAGAGAGAGATAAGAGCTTAAAATACATTTCTCTATCAAAGTAGGCTGCAGATAAAGGACTGTTCACTGCCAGTGATAGTGGGATGAAAGGGAGCCGGTATTATTCATTCCAGTGTCACCTTGTTGTGACCCTATAGTAGTCATGTGGTTGTTTACATGAATTTTGTTTAAACAGTACTGACCTTAAATTAAATTCCCAAACCAAAATCTGATCTGTAAACAATGACAGTGTCACTGTGGCACCGAATGTTTCAGCATCTAGCTTGTATCCAATACTGTTGTTTTTTGAAGGAAATATGATAAGGTTAAAGATATATCATGGTTTCAGTAGCCTATTGAAATCTGGCTTTTATAGAACTGCATTGTAAGTTCACACAAATGACAGAAAAAAGCAGAATTTGTCTGCACAAATGTGCTGAACAGAAATGTACAGTTTACATCATCGTGTTCCTTTAGAGCTCTGGTTTTAGTCTACATTATTTATTTAACTCTGTCCACCTCATGTCTCATAGTAATCTTTTCCTCTGTGTGCATAGTGCTGAATTATACATTACTCTGTGTGCATGTGTGTGTGAATGTGTGTTTTCATGTGTGTCCAGGACAGGGGCTATTCACGTAGGTGATCGGATCCTGGCTATCAACAGCGTCAGTTTGAAAGGCAAGCCCCTGAGTGAAGCCATCCACCTGCTGCAGATGGCTGGAGAGACGGTCACCCTCAAGATAAAAAAACAGCTTGACAGTAAGTATTAAAACTGTTTATTATAACTTTGCACTAGTCAAAGATTCTGTTGTATTTTTATCAATATTTGCCCCTTGTGTTGCCTTGCAATCTTTGTATTCGATAAATTGCCAATCCAGAGAAAATCAATTTTATCTGTAAACAGGCTTATTGTGTCAAGATTTCCCTTACCATTTGATAATCAATTCATAAGACAAACCCAATTTCAGCTTTTTCTCTCCAAGATTTAGAGGAGAGGAAGGCAGCAGAGGTAGAGGACACAACAGAGAATGAGCTCAGTGACACTGAGGAGGATGATTTGACAGACAGCCAACAAACAAATAAGCTGTCAGAGCTTTACTCCACAACAATACCCAGTGTCGACTCTGCCATGGAGTCATGGGACGGCTCAGGGATGGACGCCGGCTATGGCAGCCAGGGTAAGTTTTAGATAAAGACATGCAAGTGGTGAAAGGCCAACATGACCATACACAGCAAAACTTATTTAGAGTAACTTTAAAAAGTTTGATGGATCAAAATTAATGGAAACTTTTGTATTTTTTATATTTTAGTGAAGAAAAATCCCAAATCCGAATGGTTCTATCTAGGGATGGCCCCAACTAAAGATTTTCCTAATCAGCTCGTAGTTGTTAAGTCCAAAGCCAATAGTCAACTAGTCTGGGTATAGTTGGCTAATAGGACCGTGAACTAGTGAGTGGCAGCAGCTAGTACAGTTAGCACATGCAACAATGCACTGGTAAGTGTGTCCATGTGTTGCAACAGTCCCCTGATATTTTCGTCCTATTGACAATGCACAGCTCCCAATGGAGTTTGATGCTGTATTTGTTTTTCTGCGAATTAATTTGACTATCAGGGGGCAGCTCTAGTTCTGTCTATAATCCAAAATGGGTTTATCTATATATTGGCAATCTGTAAATGAGCATTTCATCTAATTCCTTCACTCCTCCTGCAGGTACGTACAGCCACCAGGCTGCTGGTATTGCCCTCCATCCCCATGAATGGCGTAGTGCAAAGCAGCAGCGCAGCACCACACCTCCTCCTGGACGCCGGAAGAACTACCCTTTCAGCGACGGAGGTTTCAGTGAGGATGACTGGGACAAACCCCCTGGGTAGGACTGAACTTAGTTTGATCTTTTTAACTGCAAATCATGTATGCTTTATATTTTTACTGAGCAGTTTTGAGTACACAATATACAATTTTAGGTATTTTTGTTCAATCCAAGCAGCCATTGGTTTCCATTTAATTTGTGTACTGCATGAAAATCTTGCCTTAGTGCAATAAATCAGCCATTTCATGATGTTAAAAACCATTTTCCAAAAAGGTTCTATTTGGCATTTGTGAAAAACTGGTCTTCTTCTTGGTTTTTATATAAGGGTGATGGCAATCATATCAAATAATCTGTTTATTTATTTTTTATATACATAGTCTATAAAATGGTACGGTCTAAAGCCAAAAGAGGTTCACATTATAGGTATATAAATTAGGAAGAAAATGTGTTGTATCTTCACATTTGAGAAGCTGAGATTGGGAAAAGGTCTGCAGTTAATAATTAACTTACTGTATATACTTGTTTATTATTTTATACTAGTACGTGTTTTAGCTTGTGCCAGTATCAGCACCAAGAATTTGTGGTAAAGTGAAAATTCCACTGTGGAGGTTGAGTCATGAAGCCAGTGAGACTGACAGAGTATCTGTGTGTTTGTGTCTCTGTGTGTGTAGTGATGAGTCAGGAGGTTAAGCCTTGTGAGGATAGCAACGTTCACTGGGGTTATATAACACTAATGGGGGTGGAGAGACTGAGAGAGGAAGGATGGTGAGAAAAAAATCAGCTGCACAGGGAGAGTGAATTAATCTCGTCAGTCAAGGACATTTAGATTACTCATGTTGGATTTAACCAGAACAAATAGTCATGTCCTGTACTGACACAGGTTCAAATCGGCTTTGTTCATGATGCTACCTCATGGCTAAAACATATAAAATACAAAGAATTTCCGCTTTCATGTGCAGACTCAATTCCATTCCACATTTGTTAACATTACGATGACTCATGGTCAGGTTACTGTTTTCTGGTAAAGAAAACGTTCATTATGTAGAGAAAAAACACAGTTTACATATGAATTACATATGAATTGATGACTAAGAGGCAGATCCACCAGGATTCAGCCCAAAAAGTGTTTTTTTCTCTAGTAACCAGTGACATTGCAACCAGGTGAGATAACTTTTTTCCCCAAAGCAGATTAATTTCATGTCATTTGTGTTTCTGCGTGTCTGACAGATTTATTGGCCAACAACCAGACGGTATTTTATTAGATCCAGATGACAGTTTCTGGTGTCAGGCACTTGAGGATCTGGAGACCTGCGGCCAATCAGAACTACTCAGAGAGATAGAGGTAAGTTAGCACGTTAGCGTCCACCTTCCACCTTGGCTGAACACCAACATTACCGCAGAAAAATTACCTGTTGGTTACAATGGTATGTTAGCATTAGCATCAAACATGGATACAAACCTATCCATTTACATACACGGGTTCACTAGATTTAAACTTAGCGTATGGAGTTAACGGCTTCGCACACCTACCAAGCACACCTTTCAACACGATGGACGCCTTAAACGCAGCCTTTTCATTGCCAGGTACTTTACAAAAGGAGTACGCCTCTTGGAGCTCTTCCAGCTCTCTCTTTAGTGTGAACGCTAACCGTTAGCACACTGATAGGTCCTCTCAGAAAGTGCTGCAAGTGTCGCCGCAGGACTGTCACACCACATTCCAGACTCCTGCGACAAAAGCACTTTGGGTAAGGTTGTGGTTTTGGTTCGATTTAGATAACAAAAGCACTTTGGTTAGGATAGGGAAAGATTGTGATTTAGGTGAAATGTAAATTAAGAAAATAAATTAAAAAATCTAAAAAACTCACGGTACTGGTGACTTTTGAGATTTGAGACTACGAGGGGATAGTATTGCAAACAAAATAAAACCAAATTAAAATTGGCAGATTAAACCTTAACTAAACCACTACAGTAATGGTGCCATTAGCTGAAGTGTGTGTGTATTGTTTGGTTTGTGCAGGCATCCATCATGACAGGAACAGCCATCAGTCTGGGTGTAGATGGTGTCAACAAGCCTCCAGCTGAGGCCATACTGAGCCACAGCAGGATGAGCCCAATGCGGAGGAATTCTCTCCTGCATCAGGGTAACCTGCTCCACCAGGCTACACACCTCCACCAGGGTGCCCATTTGCACGAGGAGGCACACCTGCATGAGGAGGCCCAACTGCACCAAGGTAATTCAATGTCAAATGTGACAGACTCCCAAAGGTGGCTCTCTCATAATATAGTACTGACAAAAGAAAAACATACAAGCCAATGCTGTGTATAGAAGTGCTCTTTACAAACTGGTCGTTGAAATACTATTTTAATTTCATTTAAAACTAATTCCACCCAGATGCCCACCTGCACCAAGAGGCCCATTTCAACCATGAGGCCCACCTGCACCATGAGGCCCACCTGCACCAAGGGGCCCACATTCACCAAGATAACCAATCCCCTCTCCTGCACCACGAACCCAAGCCCAAGGCCTCATTGAGAGTGTCAGAGAGGACGTGGGAGTCTCGTCGGATCAAAGAGGAGATGCAGGGGATTCTGTCCCCGACACCTCTGGAGCTGCACAAAGTGAGTTCAAACCTCTGTCTGGAGACTTTATTTAATGTTGATAGGATTAGGTGAAGTGACGACATGAGTGCAAACACCAAGAACAAATGTAAATGTTAACTAAATCCAAAATTTCAAAAATGTGTTCACTTACTTAAAGCAGTGGTAGCTTTTAAAAAAGCAACTTTCTGTCATATTTGCTGAAATGTTCACTGTATCCTGACAGTAATACATGGGACAGATAATGTGTGAAAAAAATCAGGTTCTTCTGTCTTGTTCTAGTGTTCCTAATGGCATTTGCAAGAAACCACGGGGCCTGAACAAAAACATCCAATCAGAGATAGAAAGATAGAAAGATGCGTTGGGTGGGAGGCTTGAAGGTAGTTGATTGTTGAGTCTCATCTCATGGTGTCTCCCAAAGCATCTGTATTTGACGACCTGGGAATGAGGCCTTAACTAACCCAGAGGAACCTGGTTTTTTCACACATTATCTGCCCCATGTACCTACTGCAGCTTTAAGGATTTAGATATGAAAATGGTTTTGATCCTCTCATCTACCCAAAGTTTCAATCTGGTCCTTTAATTTCAGTCCACTGAGAGAGTTCACTCACATCCAGCTCTCTCTTAGGGTTCTGTTTAACTTCTTTTCATTCGCTGTCTGACATTAAAGACAAAGCGGGGAACTGAGGGGAATAAGCTGTTTTGTGTTGTGTGTTTCGAGCATCGAACTTTTTCAGAGCAGAAGTTTGGACTTGTCGGAGAAGCACAGGTGTTAGTAATAACATTAACAATGGCTCTGTTATATTCGAGTGTCCCAGTAAGCCTTGACAGTGTGACAGAGAGCCAGTGTGCACAATACCAAGACCCTGACACTGAAGCAGCTAAATGGAACACAGACATCATTAATTTGTTACATGTGCGTTTCCTGCTGTCCCATGTGAAAAAGGCCTGTGAAGCTGCAAATACACAAAACAAAACAACTTAAAGCTGTATTTATTTTGGACTGGTTAACAACTTTGACTTGGTTCAAGTTTAAAAAGTCATAAAAATGTCTTGAGAAAGACATTATGTTTTTGCAGTGTAGGGTATTATGTAATGCAGTATAGAATGTACAGTATAGCGCTCCACTTCCCCTGGGCAACTATTATGCTGGCGGTTACATGTCCTCACCCTCCTGTGGATTTACAATAATGACTTCATACAGGGGTCTACTCCTACTTGTGCAGCCTAGGGCCAGAATGAGAAATACATTTGTTATCCACAGGGAGAAAATACATTAAAATCTGATGGGATCGTTGGTCATCAGCCAAAATGTTAAATGGTGTCTCATTAAAAGATCATACAATATTCATATATCATATAATACTGCCATCTCAGTTTTTTGTTAACTCACAGTTCTTAGAAAAACATCTGGCCTGCATTACCCGTTGTAGAAACCTCTGTCTTGCATTTATCCTTCAATGACACTGTGTTGAGCCGTGTTCGTTTGTAGGAGTGGCCTGTAAAGCATTTATCCTGCATTTAATCATGCTTCAGTAAAGCACGCAGCGTGGGTGAATACTGTACCCTATACAGTTGAACCACATTGTAACACAAACCTTTTATGCTTTTAAATCAGCTACCATCCCCTGTACCCCCCTTAGGCTGAAAAATACAGATTTCTTTTTTCTGTCCACATGAAACAGAAAGAGTGATTTGCTCCCACATATTTACATGTTTTCAACAGCAGCTAGTTGCAGTGGCCAATAGCGTTAAACCCCCCGGACATAAGTGTCCTATAAGCTTACTCTGCCAGACTGGGAGCTCCCAGTGAACAGCACTGCCAGACCGGGACCAAACAACATCCAAGCATCCAGTCTGACGATATGGTATACAGCACAGAGGTGGTTTTTATTGCCTGGTTTGGCTCCCGGCACCCTGGTGCTGAGTCAGCTAGCTCTGCGGGTAGCCGAGCTATCAGCCGTTACCATTACGGTTAGCTGCTTTTACCAATAGGTCCATCAGGAAACTCCATTAATCACCTCAGTATGCAATACCTCTGTCATCTAACTTGCTTCCGTCTGTTTCGGAGGCTGTGTTCAGTCCCGGTTCAGCTGTGTTCACTGGGAGGCTGCCTGTGCCTGGTTCCATTGCACTATTTTAAATCTATTTCTTTGTGTTTTTATATCCATCTATTTCTTCATCCTGTAAAATAAAATGTGACTCGTGACACTTAAGCAACCAATTTCAACCAATAATGTCATGACATCCACCCACCAATCTTCAACTTTTAGTGACACGGCTACAACAGCAGTTAGCAGAGTTGACGCAGAGCATCAGACAGACATCATAGGGAAAACCAGAAAAAACTTTCTCCATAAAAAGCCCTGATGTTGCTAGCCAGCTTACCAGTGAATCTCTGTATCACTTGAAAGTCGAAGATTGATGGGTGGATGCCATGACGTTACTGGTTGAAACTGGTTGAAATTGGTGGTTCACAGTTAAGCAAACGTCACATTTTATTTTACAGGAAGATTGAAATAAAAATATAAAATGCAATTTTTTTGCATACATTGTTAAATAGGTGCACAGTATGGCTAGGGATGTAATCTTAAAGGGTTAAAATGACATTTTTCATGTCATCCTGCCTTTGAAAAAGTCTCAAAGAATGCGTTAAATTTCTAAACGGCTCTGACACACACCAGTATTTGTCGCCTGTGTTTTTTGTGGTGCATCAGCAGCCATTGTAGCCAGTTCAGCATGTTAAACCTGGTGTTTGTGTGAAATAGCTGAGTATAATTTCCATTTACCAATGGCTGACAATGCAGAAAAAATACTTTACACTGCAAGTTGCAACTTATTGTCATACATATTCTCAGTTCATACTTTATAATAATATATAGCATATGATGAGTCACTGTCACATAAGAATGCTAAGCTCATTTGTTTGCTGTGGGTTAGGAGCACAGACTATGGACCAATCATTTTCTTTTAAGATAGTCATCAGCTGTTGTCTTTGCAGTTTGTTCAAGTGCAGCTTTTAACAAAAAACATTAGATCATGTGATGTGACACTGTGTCAGTTAGCGCTACCTTTTTGTGCTTGGCTTGCAGTGTCAGAGCCCTTTAAGACAACCTATGCTCACCATTTTTAAAACATACTAAACAAACCTCACATGCTTGGATTGTCTTCTGTAGGTAACAGTGATAAAGGACCCAGAGATTGACGACTTTGGCTTCAGCGTGTCAGACGGCTTCTTGGAGAAGGGAGTTTACGTCAACATGATCAGACCTGACGGGCCAGCTGACAGAGCCGGGCTCAAACCCTATGACAGGATCCTGCAGGTAACATAGTGTAAAACTTGAAGCTCTTTTATACAATGTCCCAAATAACAGTGGTGTGTTATCTGACCTCTATAAAGGAAAGATACCATGAGTCTAGTGATATCTGTGGATCTGACACTTTTACTCAACACAAAGGATTTGGGACCAAGTAATAAATACACGATGATGTCTTCTAAATTCCTTTAAAATTTTGGCCCCCTGGAATTGGACTCATAATAAAAGGCCTACATTTGACCCTAAAGTCCCACACCTTTTTGCTCTGTGCTCCAGTAACAGTTGCTATGCGTTAGGCTTGTCTGTGTTAAAGGTTTTGGTTAAAAGATAAAAGCAACATTGTCATGTCTCAAGTTAGCTTGCTAATCAGCAGTCGTTAGCGAGTTAGTTACATCGGACAGCTAATATTAGTGAAACAAGCCTAGCACATAGCATATCTAAGTCCAGAAAAGGAGAACGTTGACCAAGGTTCTGACCGAGGCACAGGCAGCAAAGAGGTGGGAACAACCAATTACTACATGGTTCATCTAATATGGATGTAAACACACTCAAATTAAAGCTCAAATTAATTTTAACTACGTCGTCATTGTTTCATGGTCCTCTGACACACCCACCGAATAAAATGCACAGCTAATTTTTTTTTTTTTTTGAATAAGTTGTTCTTGCCCGGTTAGCTTATATGGAGTTGCTGCAGCGGCCCGGGTTTGAATCTGACCTGTGGCCTTTTGCTGTGTGTCATCCCCTCTCTCTCTACCCACCTTTCCTGCCAATCTTCAGCTGTCTCTATCCAATAAAGGCATGAAAAGGCCCAAAAAATTACTTAAAAGAAATAAGTTGTAATCAAGAATGCAACTTAAGCAGGAGTTTTTCTGAGTTGTTATATTGCTAATGAACCAACAGCAGTACCATTTACTGGAGCAGCCATTGTCTTTGTCTCTCTGTCCAGGTGAACCACGTGAGGACGAGGGACTTTGACTGCTGCCTGGCAGTGCCTCTGATTACAGAGGCTGGAGACAGACTGGAGTTGGTCATCAGCCGCAACCCACTGGGCAACGATGACACAGAGGACAATAACAACACTTTGGACCACCCACTAGACCTGTAACACACATACACACACACACACACACACACACACACACACAGACAAAGAATCATGAATCTCTTGACATACACACACATGCATACACTCATGCAGGAGACATACTATAACTGGTGAAGAGCAAAGTTATGTGTACTGAAACTGGTCCAAACACACATACTCCACCGGCCTGCAATAAATCTTAAACAGAGACTCCTACACACACAGACACATACACACAATCTGCATGCTCCCACAGTTGTCCCCTCCCACCCACCACACAGGTCTGAACTGCTGTCATACAGTATATTTCTCTATGGAAGCACTGCCATAGTGCAGAAAAACCACCAGAGACACTCTCCTGAAGGCTGGCTTGGAGTGCTCAGTATCGTTCCAACATAATAAACCACTTACTTGGCACTTTAACATGCCATTTTCTGTGATTCTGACTCTTTAAATCTACTTTTTACTCAAAACAAATGAATAAAAACCTGCAATTTGGGTGAGGTAATTTCAGCTCTTTTCAATGCCAAGCCACAGGTTTACATAAATTTCTAGTGCTGCTGGTATCAGAGTGATCTGCCTTATTCCACAATATTGTGATTTTAGGAAATCTCAAATGAAACAACATAGAAAGAGAGAAACTGCCTTACTCAGTTTGCAGATTTCATTTGTTTTAAGAAAAGCTAATAAGATTCACTGGAAGACTGAACCAACAGATTATAAAGGAGTATAATCTGAGTGTCTGACTGTGGTCTTTATAGATGTAGCCATTGTAGAAGTCCATATTGCTGCTAAGAGTGTTAAAATACTGCTGCCCCATTGCAATTCCCAACAGTCATCTTCTGGAAAGGTTAAATTTGGCTCTTTTTCCAGCTGTCACATGCAGGTGGACTTCTATATTGGATACCTCTGCATATCATTAGGTAAGCACAGTGATATTATAAAAAAAATCTAAATTTGTGCCATCATTACAAGGTAAAGACAATGTCATCACAACTGCCGAGTTTTGTGTTGAGCCATCAAAGGGAAGAAGGGAAGGAACAGTTTTTTCTTTCCTGATTAAACGTGAGATCTTAAATTGAATTTATTTAAAAGGGCAACTTTTGCTGCAACACAATTGGGAAGCTGTGCTCATCGCCCGGAAAAAACTGTGTTACCAACAGAAGAACATTTTCCTTCAAGATTTTGAGAGATTTTGGACCATTTTCTGTGTTTGTTTTTTTTGTACTCGCCAATGACTGGGGGAGTTGCCCATTGACAATGCCGAATCTATCACTGCAGTTGCCTGAGAGCAGTTCATCTCACCTCTGGCTTACAAAGTCAAAGAGCAGTAGCTACCACATATGTATTTTAAATGATCATGATTATGGTTATGGATGAGCATAATCAGAAATAACACCTACTTATGACTTTAAAGGTGCTGTGTGTAGCACTTGTGAGAAATTCATTACCACTTTCATTTTGAGACATTAGTATAATTGCCATCAACAAATGAGCTTGTCAGTTCTTCGCCGCATCAAAACTGTATTTTACGCTGTGAGCCACTGAGGCCGGTTTGAGGGATAATCGCTTTATGAGCCAAAACAGGAATAAAGCAATTTCCTTCATAAAACAAACGGCTAAAGCCTGAAAATGTGTTGGTGAAAACAGATGGTAGAAGGGATAAAAGGCGGATGGGAACTTATTTATCCAACATGGTTTGTCTTTACAGTAAACAGACAAACGTGTTATATGTATGGTCGACTTCAATTTCCAGTGGCATACATCAAAGTGTCAATACTTACAAGTTACAGCAACAATAGTTTCTTACAGAAAGATGCATTACTAAGTAGAGGAGAACATTCTTTCTGAGGGGTCACCATTTCTCCTGAAGATGTGAACACTCAACACTCTGTGTTCATATGATTCGATATAACTGCTCAGATATGCATTGTTGTAAAATGTACAAGAATAACTACTGTAAGCATGTTTAGCGTCATTGGTACTGGGAGTACATCATCATTTTAATAGATAGTCCACCTATTCCCATCAACATTTAGCACATTATTGTGAACAACAAGCCAAGTCAAAAAAAACAAAAAAAACATCCTCTTTCCTCTAGGAAGCAAACAGGTTTACAGGCAATACGGTCTCCAAGCATTAATAACAACACAGTTTTAGAATAGATGCTACAAATCATCACTGCCACATTCTCGATAACAAGCTACAACAGCTATTTCGATAAGTGATGTTTTAAATGCTCCGCGTAGTACCTTTAGATGATGTCTACAGTATTAGATCAACCATGAACACTAAAATGTTACTGCTCTTTGGCTTTGTAAGGAAGACTGTCCCCTTTGTGGCACCAAGATCATGGACGAAGTAAAAGGCATCATCTGCAAATATAGAGAGTGCGTTGTTGGGATGCTGAAGATAAGCCCCAAGTTGTTCAGACTAGGAACAAGTCTCACACGCACACACACACACACACACTTACAGAACAGGGCCAACATGCACAGATAACATATGGACACGAAACAATGCAGTTTGTGTGTGTGTCATTATGTGTTTGTTCACATTTCTTTGTGTTTGACTGTCTTGTATATGTCCATCTCTGTTGATGATCTACATGAATGTGCCAGTACATTTCTATCTTTGTGGGTGTGTCTGAAAGGGTGCATAAACACGCTGTAGCCCACTCGATTTCGCCAACTGAAAAGCCTTTTGTCCTTCGGTTTGGCTTGGTGGATGGATCTTAATACTTCAGTACCCATGAGGCTTGGCTGCAATCACTTTGGAGACGAAGCCAGTCAGAGGTGCTAATTAGAGCATTTGAGAATGAAAACATGGCGTCATAGTTGCTGAATTCATCCAGAATTGACAGATAATTCAAACCAGCCGTTAGAATTGCAACTACCAGAATTTTAATCTGGTCTGATTGGGTGTTTCATACTGAATGCATCAATGCGACTCAAAGAACCAGATGCTTTTTAACACATCTGATAATCTTTTGCACTGATGCCCATCCGAGCCGTAGAAATGCTCCAACTGTCAGTGTGCCCAAAAGAGCTCCACCCACTCTGCAACTCTGGCATGTGGGTATTGTAATAAAAACTTGAAGAAATCTGAACCTATTATTTAATGACTTTTATTAACCCTCCCACCTCTCCTCACCTCCTATTTTTGGTCTGTTGGGTAACAGCAGAGATTCCTTCCACTTCCTTCAACTCCTGTTTTCATGATTTTCTCTGTTTCCTGCCAAAACCTTCTTTGCCCCAATTATCAGTGGATTAACAGAAATGAGACTGGCTGTCTCTCCCCTCCTACTACTCAAGTGTGTGCGAATACGTCTGTGTGTGTGTGTGTGTGTGTGTGTGTGTGTGTGTGTGTGTGTGACAGAGAGAAGGAGTGTATACGGATCGGAAGGTAACAATTTTATAGGTGTTCCTGTGTGTATAGATGTATGTAAGCACAATAGAGAGAATTATTAATATGGTGTGAGTGTACAACATTGTGTGAGAGACAGACAGTACATAAAACACAGGAGTAATGCATTTATGTGCGAAAGAGTGGACAGAAAATAGCCTTTGTCCTCTGAAGGATTGAAAACATTTGACAGGAACAATCACAACCTCTGTTCTCTCTCTCTCTCTCTCTTTCTCTCTCTCTCTCTCTCTCTCTCTTTCACTGTTTCTAAGTCTCTCACTCTTTCCTCACGTTGTTACATAATACAGTTAGAATCCAGCTGCACCCATGTGTGCGTTGGTCTGTGTGTGTGTGAATGAGGGAGCTTGTATGTGTATGTGGTATGTGTGTACTATAAACGTGTGTTTACATGTATGTAGCTATTGATGTCAGTTTTTTCCTTTTGGGTGTGTGTGTTTGTGTGTGTGTGTGTGTGTGTGTGTGTGTCACAGAAGGAGTGCTAGGTGGTGTACATTTCATTGTACAGTGGTGATATTTTTCAGGGCTGTGGGTTCACTCTCCCTTATGAAACCCTGATGAGACATGAGACTGAAAACAGTATAAACTCCGTTTTTGTGAGCGAGCCGAAGGAACTTTTTCATGACTAAAAAAGAAAAAATGATTTACTTCTCTCCAAGCACTTACTACAAAAAAATAAGCACACTGTTGAATACCATGCACTGTAAGTATTTTCATGTACAACGAAACAAAACTGTCTGAGTGTTTTTTACGCAATGTCAAGTGGCCAAAAAAAGTTTTGTAAAGCAACAAAAAAAAAAAAGACAAAATGCTGAGAAAAGCCTTCCAAATTGTTCTGTTGGTTTTTATGTATGTGTGTATGTACGTATGTGTGGTCATCCATACTCCCTATGCATTTCTGGGTCAAAGGTCAGTTTAAAGTCCAATCCGGAACCGTAAAAAAGTCAGACGGATGAGTGAAATGTGTAAAGAAAATATAAACAATTCCTCCCAGTTGTATAATGTAATAAATGTAACAACTTACAAAATATCAAATTACTGTGAAAATGTAGGACTGATATTACAATATTTTAAATTAATGGCATTACAAATTATTAAGTTACTAATGTATGTCTGAAGATTTTATGACAGTATATTGTATTTTATTAAACTGGCCGGTTGTCGATATCACTGAGCCTGTTAAAGGATGTCGTTACATTTGATAATGTATAGTATAGTTATAATATAATATAACATTTATTACATCATCAACTGCAAGGCACTTTCCGGAGTCTGCCAGTCTGACTCATGCTTAAAATGTCGAGTGTGTTTGAATGGTTTATCTTAACCTAACACTTAAAAAGAGACCAGTTTCTGCCTACGAAGAGGCTAGCTCACTAAACCAGTAGGTCCAAGGATTTCTCTTAATGCAGCACATCGTTACTGTTGTTTCTATAACACGTACCTGTGTACGCAGCATGTGTTGTTGGGGTTTCTACCGCATGAGTTTGTGCAATTCAGCCGGTCATTCATTCATTGCTTTTATTTGAAAACACATGGAAGAAAAAGAGATCACTACTTATTGTTTCTGTCAAATCACACCTTTCTGTTAGTACCTTTGTTTGGTTTTTTTTACCCTGCAGCGGCCATATTGGAGGTTATCAGCTGGTGGCTAATGGTTGCAAAAGCTGATTGTGTAACATTGCGGTCCACAATTACAGCAGAATTCAGACATGGCTCATATTTTGCATTACATTAGCATATTTCCTACATACATTCAGCTTGTGATAAGATAATGGTTTGCTTACTCTCCAGATAACAACAGTTAACTAGCTAACCATAATGACCTTTCCAGTCTGTTGCTACTATTGTAAACATGAGTACAAGATTCTTCACTGGACCTGCAGAGTTTGTAGAGTCCCAGCCGACTGTGGTTGTCGCTCTGAAGGGGAAATCAAGTTTTGTTGCATCATTTCCAAACTAGAACATTTCGATGTCTCATAATGATCTGTTGGTCATGAGAGAATCTTCAATCTTTGCTTCACATTTCTTACAAATCACACGAGAACTTTTTACAATAAAAGTTATTCATGCCTTTAACATTTGCGTTTATCTTTCAGATTTTTTTTTAACATTAACAGTTTTAAAAAGATGTGTTGACAATGAATGAAAGCTTATTGCGATTCCGGATTGGGCCATTAATAATGTATGGGTTGATATTGTGTTTTTTTTTTTTTTTTTTCTTTAGTTTCTTTTTCTCAAATTGTGTAAAGTTCTATTCTATGTAATATAGTATTTTTATATGACAATATTAATCTTCCGAGACATGGGAGAAAATACAAAACAAAACTTATGAAAGGGAAAATAAAATGTATAACTTTGTTGTTGTTGTTGTTTTGTTTGTTTTTTTTCATTTTCTATGAAACAAAGAGTGTACTGCTATAGGCTACTTCTCTTTTCGAGAAGAACATGAGAAAAGATCAAAAGAAAGAAAAATAAAATGTCTAATTTTATGTTGGTTGACTGGTCTGTCATTATTTTGGTGCTCTTTGAACCCCAAAAAGTTTGGTTGCAATACTGCACTTTTATGTGTGTGTGTGTGTGTGTATGTGTGTGTGTGTGTGTGTGTGTGTGTGTGAGACTGATAAAGTGGCAGCAAGATAGACTTTATACATGCTTACATGTACACTGTTTGCACACACACGTTTCCAATCCAGAATTTAGTAACTTGTACATGAATGTTTAACAACTAAAAAGGAACCTGGTAGTAATTTCGGCCACATGTGCATGCTATGTACTCTGTGTACCTTATCCAAAGTGTGTATGCTTGTGTCTGTTTATGTGGAAAAGAGTGTGTTTGAATTAGAGCCTCTTTGTATGTATTTTCCTGTATGTGTACACGTGATTTTTTTTTCTCCCTCTCTGCTAAATAACATGGCTCATTTTGTGGGAGTATACTGTACTGTACATTCTGCTTCTGCTCACTTAATTATCCCCAGGGGTCTAGTGTTACATAACAGGTCTAACACACACACACACACACACACGCACATACACACACAATACGCATTAAATGCATGCACACACATACACACAAGCACTACAGTAACACATGGAAAAGTAGTTAAGTATCCAAAGCACACTATGCACATTTACACACACACACACACACAACGCACACATCAAGGTTGCATGCACCATCCCAACAGTTCTAATGTGAACACAAACAGGCCAAACTTGAAACACTTGAAACAAGAAATTATGTGAACAACCCGTTCTCTACCCTGACTGTACCAGACAGCCATCTGGGAAATAATCGCTGGAAACTGTTTTGGAAAAGGGCTGTCAATTTCAAAATAACACTTGGCAGGTGATTGGATGAACAATCTTTTTATGACGGTCCATCACAGGCAAATTTCAACCAATCAGTTCAACAAACCTTATAAAAGTATCTCTTACCAAAGCCAGTGCAAGTGCAAAAGCATTTTTATTTCCATTGAGAAAAGCCTTCAGTGCCGTTTTCTGCTTTTCTTTCAATGAAGAAACACTCCAGTTCTGATTGAACTGACACTAGCAGCATCTACGGTAACCTCTCTCTCCTCCATTGTCCTTTTTAAGCCTCGTCTCACACACAGTTGTCACACACAGCATTAAATCCTCAAAAGTTAGTTCCTCATTGGACACTGATTAGTCTAAAAGCAAGGGTCAGCAACTGTTACCATAAAAAGAGCCATTCTGGGCAAAACACCACATCAAGTATACCGGTAAGCCAGCAACTTTGGTGGTGAAAGCAAATAAATCTATCTAGTCTATTTTCCTGAGACTTGGAATCCATAGGTAGTCCAGCTAGGCAGCACTGTTGAGGTTTGAGGAAGAGGCGTTAGGTCAGGACTATGGCCGTAGCCAGCTATGAGGTCACAATTATGCAACATTAATGCAACAAGGTGCTCACTTCCAGTACAGTCCCATCATTTTTTGTCAAGGCTACTTGGAGCCACTGTCGTTCGGTCACAAGCGCATGCAGTAGCTTGGACCCTGGCAAGATGGTAACTTGTATGACTTCAATTTAAAATAACTCAATGTGTATTTTCAGTTTCATGTGGGACCTGAACCCCCAATCTTCTGGGTGAAAGTCCTGTGTTTGTTTGAGCCTTCCATCCACCCCATCTCCTCTAGATGGGGATTTCTTTCTATTTATACTACATCACCTGACGCGGATGGTTTACATTGAAGCTTGGTGAATCTCATACAGTGCAGCTGTAGGGACGTGAGAGTATGAGAAGGGGCTGCTCTGGACTGTATCACAGGAAGTAACTTTAGCTGGGGACGGACATGGAAACCAGCTGAAACCTACTAACAGGGTGACCACAGGGTCCCAAAAACAACACTGACATGAAACCAATTCAGATTTTCCTTCATATCCTTTTTTCCAGTATGGATGTGAAAGAGGTTTTAAATTGCATTCATAATGACCTTTAAAAGCCTTAATGTAACCTGTTGAAACCTGCAGAAAACCTGTACAAAGAGTGCACAAACCAGACTTAATGACTGCCTTTCACCATCACACGTATATTCTGTTTTTTTTTAGTCTTGGCTGCCAGAAAGGAGGACATATACTAAATGACTGAGTAAATGTAGAGACAACACACTGGGCAGCAAGTTTGATGAGAGTCGTGTCACTAGACAACAGCCCAACACAAGTTATTGTGTATTTCTGTACCAAAACAGAAATCCACCAGATATCCATCAAAGAGTTTGATAGAAAAGAGATCAGATAAGTCATGACTCCCAAATCATATTCAGAATCCGCTGTACCAGTATGTGAAACCAGACTACATTTACTCAAATACTGTACTTAGATCAACTGACGTACTCTTACTTCACACAATAATTTGCATGTTACACTTGCATGATACACATTGTTTTTCTAAAGGAAGAGTTAGTTTTCTCCTCAGGATAGATGGTTATCACTAGTTCCACACTCTTATCTTTTTTTTTTCTGCTTTGATTCACTTTAAATGATAATGTGACAATGTGAAAGAGGTCACTTTTATTGCTGCCCCCCCCAAACCAAACGGCAGACAGATGCATTTAGCAAACTAGTTGGTGAACATGGTGGAGCATTCAGCAACTAAGGAGCCAGTGTGAATATTGGTCATTCATCAGGTGGACAAAAACCAGCCTCCAAATAATCACTAATGATGCTACTAATGGTGCACCATGTATAGCTGACAATCCCTGGCCAAATGTAGCTACTTTTTATACCAAAATCTAACTCAACACAACTCTGCTTTTAAAAACTCCTCTTCTAACCTCCGCATACACACTGAAGTAAGTTTCACATACTCTGTGTGAAAATATAGGGAGCTAGCCAACGTTAACTATGTTATTTTTTCATGTGTAAATTTAATCTTTAATGTTATAATAATGACATTAACTTATCTTGTAGCTAGTGGTCTGCTGGGCTTTTAAAGCTTTAGAAAGCAGTTCAGCTAATGTAATGCAGACTTCAACATTAACATTAATAATAATTGCATTAGTACATTGGTAAGTGCAACACTCCCATGCATTATGTCCAGGTGAAGCTCACAGCAGCAAGCAAAAGAAAATGGTGGTGCATGTCTGTATGCAGCCCTCCACAGGAAAACAGTAGTTAGTAGTGGGACGGTGTGAAGGGAACATGGATGTGCCAAATGGGAGAAAACAGGGGAAAATCTGCAAAAACAAATGGAAAAAGTGCATATATGATGTCCCTAAGGCCTGCACCAAGAAGTCCACAACATCCTGAGATCAAAACCAGTCACATTCAATTTTCACATCATCCCTCCACTGCTTTGCCCTTCCATTTCCTCTTTCTATTTTCGACTTCAGAACAAAAAGGCGAAAGTACCAAGAAACGCTAATCATAAAAACGTGCAGATTTGTTTTTGCTTTTTGTTCTGTGTGAAGGCCAAAAAACTGTCATGAAGATGAAATGGAAAAAGAAATTCTCAGCAGCGAAGTCTATTCTGGGAGCTGGCGGCCAGAGAATGGAAATGTCAGCGTTGTGTTTCTTTCTCTGGAGTGCCAGTTATTTAAAGCTCGGACTGCGGCAGCAACCCAACAGCAAAATTAACATTCATATTATTAACAGCAGGTTCCAGCTGTGCACCAACATTCTCTGTGTTCCTGCTGAATGGAGGGGCTTTTGATGGGTCACATGGGAGCAATAATCATAATAATCGTGGTGGTATTTGTGTACTACCTTTTTCTGGGCAAAACTATAAATCAAGTCAAAATAAGGAACAAAGACTCGTGACGGGATTTGTACTGTGCCTGAAAGAGCTTTCTGTCTTTACTGATTACTTACTTTGAGGCATAAACAGGACTTTTTAAATGGGTATTTTGTGTAACACTCATGTAAATACTTTCATGGGAGATTTGGGGAAAAAAAGGCTCATGTAACTGCAGCTACTGAGGGGAAATTACAGTCTGGGAAAATTAGCTGTGTTCAGTACCCAGCTTCTATTAATCACCACCATGTCTGAGCCTTTATTTCCCTGTTGTGAAACGGATGTTTGGGTCAAAATATTCCATAAACTGAAGCTGTTTCCAGCAGCTGCTTACCGACATTATTTCAGAACGTGCAGCTTCATTTGGGAGGGGTCTGGGGTTGTGTGTACTGTTTTGCTCCTGTTTTTAGTAGTTATGAGTTTAAGTACATGATTTCTGTTTGGGTGTATTTTTGTTTGGTTAGGTAAGCATAGGTTGGATTGATTTAGCTCACTTTCTGTGGGTAATAGTGCCACCATGAAGCCAACACAAGCTTGTAACACATTCCTTAAGGGGGGAAAAAAAGGTTACTCAGCCCCAACATTTCTCTGCAAAGGTTTTGGCATCAGGTTATTTACTTTGAACCAAACTTCTGTATCAAGAAAAGGATGTAAACTTGAAAAAGGAGACACTGGTGGCAGCCTGCTTTATATCCTCAAAGGCTACCATGAAGGAACCAATCACCAACCAGGAACCACCTGGGCAAATTCAGGCTACCCAGCCAATCATAGCAGCTCACATGCAGCTCATCAGACACACAGCAGGCCCACTGGAAGAGAGAGACCCACAATGCATACCATAGTATACCCAAGTCTCATGTCAATAAGCTTAGTTTATAATGTCCACACATTTAATTCTAAGAGATTCACAAAAATAAAAGGTGGTGAGTGACAGCAGCACAGATGCTAAAGCTTAAGTATGAATCTAACTGGTTTCATGTTAAGTACATTGTGTGTACAAGTGAAACTCACCTTCAGTCTGCTGTTTACAGTAGGAAGTGGCAAGCTTCTTCAAAACATGCCTCAGTTTACAGGTTGTTGTGTAGTCTATTGTTCCCTTAATGCCAGGACAAAAACATTCTCACAGTTAAAAAAGAGAGGGATGTTGGATGTGAGAAACCACCAAGAACAACATCATCTCAAGTATAAAATTAGATTATTGCTGCAATGTTGCTGAGAATGTGTCAGCGGAATCTCTGGTTGTGTAAACTTTTCTTTTTAACCAATGTGTCAACTACGGAAGCAGGACACACTACAGTGTGGTGTAGTGTGGTGGTGGTGGTGGTGGTGTTGTATTGCAATTAAATATATTGAAAATATTTTATCCACCCATGTAATACCCTAGGGAAGGCCATAATCCTCCACGGCACTAATTTCTTTATTTGCTGGCCAAAAGAGCATAGATTATATCTGTAGTCCTGTTTTTCTTCTACTTACAGGTACAATATATTTATAGTTTTGAACCCATCTGATTACTTTCACATATTTAAGGAAAAGTGTCAGCAGTGAGTGTGCTGGAATGCAGCCTCTTTCATTATAGCTTCAATGCCTTAAATCTTGTATTACAGGATTACTTTGTAGGATTAGAGTTTATTATGTTGTCAAGGGGATTTAGGTACATAAGTCCCCAGAGTTGGGAAATTGAACTTGAAGGGAATGATCCGTGTGTGTATGTGTGTAAATGTGGTCTCAGCTGTGGGTGTGTATGTACTTCATGTGTCTAAAAGTTGAATAATCATCCAAGACACAGAAACTCAGACCTCATTTTCTGAAGACAAATTTTTTATTAAGAAATAAAAAAAGTTTTACACCTTTGTAAAACCTGTTCAAACACATATTTTTTTCTGTTTTTTTCTAGCTTACAGTTTGGCCATAGAAATAAAAAATAAAAGCTTTCAAATTCTTTTTAAAAATGTTTTTTTTTCTTCACCGAGAATTAAAAAACATTTTCCCATGTACATTCTCAAAAAGGAAGGGCTGGTATACAGTATAATGCAGGAAAGACAGAGGCATTGTCATTGGAGACCATGATCAGAATGAGTCTGATGACAGGATGGGGACGATGAGCAGGACTCCATTTCCCAGAGGACCTAGCACTCACCATTGTTTATGTAAATGAAGCTAGGTAAGATGGTTTCACAGCCTTTTGTTTCATTGTTAGAGTCTTATCCTCACAAGTCAAAACTAAAAATGCCAAAAATTGAATTAGTTTACACCTTAAATGGTTCTCCGAGTGAGGACGACGTCTTTTTTAAACGTCAAACCAAAGAACAAAGATGGTCTTCGCACTAAGGATGCTGCCAGGAAACGGAGCCCCATTTATCTTCCTTTACAGCCACGCAGAGTCACAGAGTGACATTAGTGATAAAACAGACGTAGTGTCACCTCTACATAGCCCGAAGATCACATCTGTATGGTCTAATGTTGCATCTATATCACAGAAACAGACAACCAGATTCTGAATCCCGCAGATATGGTGGTGTTTTCATCACGAACATGCATGGAATTTAAAATCCATTCTTCTGTTTCTGTGAAGATGTAGTTTGGTTCTTCAGTTTCTTTGATAAAGCACTAAGGTTGCAGGGTTTGGCGGAGTGGAGTTTTAAATAGAAATGTCAGAATAAGCAGAATGTAGAAATTGCATACAAGGTTTTAAAGAAAAGCCCACATTTGATATGGTGTAATCTGGTTTTTATTGGATTTACTGCTTTGGTTGCTGAGGAGCAGGCTTCCCAAAAGCAGCCGAAATTACTCCAAGGTATTTGTTCCATCACAAGGAAATTAGGCTCACAGGCCTTATAAGGTTAGATTTCCGGATATCGCTGATGTGTTGCAAACTAGGAATGGTGAACTTTGGTTGTGGCGTGCTTTTGGAAGGCTGCCTGATTTTTAGCAACACAGCAGTACTGAGATAAATATAGGCAGGTAGAATGGTGGGCTTAGTGGCAGTGTTACTGTGTTTCATACCCCTCACAAACTCACAACTTAGCAGTCTGTCACAAAAAAAAAAAAAAAAAAACAGTATTTTGCAAAGAAATTCAGTTTGATGTAATCACGTTTAGTAATCATTTTATTCTCAGTGCATTTCAAACCACAAGATATTTGATGGAATAGTGGTTTAGTTTGGTTTAGTTCCACACTGCAGAGCTTTTTGTGGTGGGTGTTAATTTAATTGGACCCTGAAGATTCAAATTTTCTTCTTTGAGAATTCACAGGCTATGATCTTCCTTCAAAAAGGTTAGTACCACCTATTGGAAAAACAGCATGAAAAATAAAAGTATTCTACAAAGTATTGCACGTAACAAATTGTAGCTTTTTTGTTTGATTTTTTTGATTGATAGTTGTACATGTTACTCCAATGACAGAGGTTCAAATACACTATATTTGGAATACAAAAGGCAAATGTGACACACAATCAAAAACAAAATAAGACAAGAAACGGCTGAATAAAAAAAAAATGAAAAGAAAAAGAAATGAATTTCTCTTTTTTTTCACCCTTAAAAAATAAATCTTCAGAAACTTTTACATTCACCCGCAGGTGACTTTCACATTTCAACATTCGGCGGTAAAAACTTGTGCATCGCTAATGCTTCGATTTCTTTTGCAAATTCATTATCTCTGAGAAAAATTGGTTAGCTTAGGTTAACTGAAGGTTTACATAGGCTAACTGACGGGGAGTGTAAGAAGGCAGAGGGACTGGTACATACTGTAAATATACACAGAGAGGCAGAATAAACCAATAAATGACTGCATTAGTTATTATGTCTGGTCCACATTTCCCCACCAAAAACAGGATCTTTGCACCAAGGAATGATTTGATTCAGTTCTGAGAGTACATATTTACATGGCCTAAACCTATTTTCGTGTCTCTGTTGTTACTCTCTGCTAAAGATGTGTAATTTCGAACTTCGCTGTTGCCTGCTATTTCTAGAAGTCCCCACGAAATTAAACAATTATTCCATTTTGTGCATCTTCTCTATGAAAATATCAAAATTAAAAACCCCAACATTGAGATTTCATAGATGCACCAGAGCTAAAGCATGAGTAGACAAAACAAAAGGAAAGACAAAATCTTTAGGTGCTCTGTGCAATTGTATTTTCAAAATGCCATAAATGATTTTATATGTTATTTTGTGGTTTCTGACTCTGTTGTTCTTTGTGAAAGGTGCTGACAGATATTTCCTTACAGCCTGATTTATGTTTATTTTTTTTGCCTTAGTGCAAAGATCCTGGGGGGGAATCGAGAATCAGATTCTGTACAAAAGTTTAAGATTAAAATGAAGCTTTGTATCTGTATTAAAATGGGAGGTCTGCAATGGGAGCTTAACTGTACAAAGACGACTTATATAGGAAAAGTTTGTTACTGTATGAAAATAGATGTCTGCTGTGGATTTGGTCTCACAAATCCCTTTTAATGATATGAACTACTATATTCTATTTGAAGAAATGAAATAAACTGACAAAAAACATTTTCAAAGCTTAGATGAAACACGAAATGAGGCCCTGGTCTCATGATCACTTCTGATGTGATGTTGTTGGTCAAATTCCTGCAATGCGTGTGTACTGTATAACTGTATATTTGATGTGAATGAATAATTTTTGATCTATTTTAATATGTCTGCTTTTGGGAGAAGAGAAGCACTTAACGCTGAAACCTTAAGTGTTTTGACAATATTCAGATTTTTTATTTGTCTTTTTACTATTGAGGCCAATGAGGACCCTGAATAAAAAGATGGCAGTGTTTCTTTTTGGCCTCATCATTTGATATGAAGTCCAAATCATACAAATAAAGTGCAATAAAAACTCACTTTGCCTCACTCTCTCTGTATTTTTGTCTTTGATAGTGGATAAAATAGGCAGTTAAGGTGTGTGATTTTCCGTTCTGTGTGGCAAAGAACTGATCTTGTGCCTTCCAAGCTGCACAAAAACATCCATTTTGATTGCTACCATTAAATGCCGGCTCTTTGTCACCCACAGTTACAAGTCTAATTTTTTGGATGCTGGGTTAATGCAGCTATACAGTAGATAAAAGCACTACAGAGAAGGTCCTGAGTGGATGGTCGCTGGTGACACATACACATGGGAAACCCCTTGTTACACAGACATATTAAAATGAATGTAACAATTGTAATTGTCATACTTCTCAGATAGTCTGCTTTCAGCTGTTAATGGTTCACATTGTCTATATTATGGCCCTCTATTATCGTGAAGAATGTAATGTAGTTTTACGTTTGTGTTTGATAAAAAAAACCCTCCAGAATTAAAGATACAGAGAGTGTTAGTGTATCGCAGGGCACATCACCATACCAATGATGGACAGAGTTTGGGCGTAGCAGCCATGTCAACCTCTAAACAGGATGATATTAGAGTTAGTTCGGATTTCCAGATCTAAAATACAGGAGATCAACCAATAATTACTGAAAGCGGTTTTGATTTTAGGGTATCTGCAGGTCATTAAAGTCTAAAGACATTTATATGAAGCTGAGGTTAAGGCTCCAAGTCTATTAACATATGTAAAGTGCAGCCTTTAGAGGTTTCAGACACTATTTCCAAGTGTTGTTTTCTTACACATTGCCCAATTTCACTTACTTAAATTTTTTTTGGTTAGGCCTGATTTGAATTCCAGGCAGCATGTAACGTCTGAGACCGACTTTACAGAATATTTCAAGCTTTTGTAGAATCATAGATTGCTTGAAGTATGTAAATGGTGTTTTGTTTACTGTTGCTATGCCACAAAACTCATTCTGATCATACCAAACGGCAAAAGACTCCCAGTTCCCACTAACTTGAAGGGAATTTAAGTTACAATGTGTACAAATTTGAAAACCTACACCGTCAGTAATAGTCATGCTTTTTAGAAATGAAGTCCTTCAGCTCCCATTTTGAGTGAGGTGAAGCAACATGGTGGCCATGGAAAAAAAACGTGACCAAACTCTGTCATTCACTGGCTTGGATTTGTCTGCAGCCAGCTGCCACATTTCACAGTGTCTGGAAAGGAGTTTGACACTCAGATGAGTCGACAGTCTGACGCTGGCTGATTTGTTGCGAGTGTCACCCAATCGATGTTTGATTTGAGTCATCGAGTTGGTGACAGTGTTTAACCACTGGCTACAGTGCCCTGTCTGGACGAATTTATCCAAATTAAATACTGTCCCCTGGTATTTACAGAAGAGGAAAAGCTATAAACCCCCAACACCTACAAACTTACAGATGGAGCCATTGTAGAATTCCCATTTTTTACTGTACATTGAACTGGTCACTGAATGTTTGACCCACACACCCACAAGAGAAAATATTTGGGAAAAATCACTTGCATTGTTTGTTTGTGCGATGCTAAAGACGGAATTGTTGGTCAGAACCAACGCTGGAAAAATGCATGATGAGGACTATTACTACAATGGCTGCCACTGTAAATGTATGATTTGTATAATAGCTTAGTATTTTCACCAGATGAAAGAAGTGTTCCTTCTTCTATGTAAAACTACAGCAATTATCATCAATAATGAATACCAATAACATTATAGTCTTAATAAAAAAAAAAAAAACCTAAACATTGACAGAGGAAAAACTAATAATAATGTAACTTCCTCTGTAGAAAACAAAATAAATCCAATCCAAAATTGTAAGCCAAGAGTGCCTAGTGCAGTCACTAATGTACTGTAAACTGGTCTAGGACAGAGAAAGATAGATAGAGAGATAGATATAGATAGACTGATTAGCTACTACTGTACAGTACGCCACAGACAACACACTCAAGGGTTCAACCTCCACACTTCAAATCCTTTCAGATACCTCTCTCTTTGTGCAGGAGCGGGTTTCCCCGACACAGTCTCAGTGCTAGTTTTCTCTTTGACCCATAGTTTATAGCTATGGAATATGGGGATATGTGTGCTAAGGTGCATTCAACAACCAGGAACCTGGTCTGATAAGGGTCATCGGCTATCATAGCTGTGTCAATTATATATTTATCAGATTTTTCAGAATGCTTGTGGTTATCAATATGGCCTGGTCTATGGTCATTAACTTTGGTGGCTACAGCTTTGGATTGTTGCGAGTAAGTTTTGTTAGATTTGGACAGAAAAAAATTTAAAGTTTCTGGGATTGGGATGCTTGACCAAAATTCTTGCCTGGGGCAGCTGAAATACCATCAAGATGCTTTTCAGAATTTTTGTTATTATTGAAAAGAAAAAACATGCTTTTTAGTCATAATGCTGTCCCTGTATTGCCTCGATCATCTACCCCACCTCAACTGGACCTCTACTGAACACATTAGAACAGAAAGAGCCAGAGTCGAACCCTATGGCACATCACCTCAGATAAGTGCACCCTGTTCATTGTATCACAGGCAAAGACCTGTATATAAAACAGCCCAAAAAAACTGCTTTTGGTGATCTGTGATCAATAAAGGAAACCTTTTTCAAATTGTGGCTACAAAAGGCTGTTTGATTCCAAGACTCAATAACCACTTTCTTCCTTTTTTTAGAACAATGGCTGGTTTTCTGCTAAAGTAGCTGGTGGAACAGAAATGTGCCAGCGTTATGACCAGAGACTGGTGCTATTTAGCCACTGTGTCTTTAAACAAGACAACAGTGGAACGTGTAGTCACATGAATATTACAAATAGGAAAAAAACAACAACTCGTGAGTAATTCAGAAATAGATTTGAAATGTGATTGCTACCCTCTTAAGAAAACCACCAAGAGCAAACTACTTCCAAAGTATTCCTAAAAGATTTGAAACGGGAACTTTTTTTTTTCCTTAAAAACCCTTATCAGTCCACCAGACAGACAGATAGACAGATAGACAGATAAACAGAAAGCTAGCTAGCTTCAGAAGCATTTTAGAGGACAGGAGAGGAGAGGAGAGCGATCTCATGGAGAGCCTCCGTCTCATTCCTTTACATCATGGTTTCCACGATGGTGTGGGTGGGAGCCTTCATCAGCAGGCCCTTGTTCCCGTTGGGGTCCAGCGGGTAGGACAGCTCCTTGAGGCCACGATGATCTGCGGGACGGGAGCTGGCCCCGCCGCGAACTGGGGCTGCCACCGCCTTGATCCTCTGCAGGAAAGAAGGAGGGATGGATTGGAGGAGAGGAGAGGTGGAAACAACAGGGAGAAGGAGGGAAGGTGGAGAGAACAGAAGGGATCATGGAGAGGAGGTGAGAGGGGAGAAAATGCAAAATAAAAATAAAAAGGAGGGTTAGAACATGAACAAAAACATGTAAAGCTTAAAATATCTAATTGTATCTCGAAGATCTACATTTGAGGAGGTGATTTAAATAATCATTTACATTTTTTCAGCAGAGGAATGAGCATAAATTTAATATCTGATCCAAACTATCTGACAGCTACATGGCTAAACACCGGATTGGCTACTGCACCCACCTCAATGAGCGGCCCATCAGATCGGATGATCTTGATGACAACCACCATGGGGATGCAGATCATGGAGGCCAAGGCCAGAGTCCAACCTATGCCGACGGCCCAGTCAGGATACTTGTAGACCTTGTTGTACGTCAATGGCTTGTATTTGACCAAGGAGAAGATAAAGCAGCCCTGGAAAGAAAAAAGAACCAATGTTTGAATGCAAATTATGGTCAGCCTTTAAGAGGATGGTGTAGTGACCATTTTTGTATCTGGTCATTTGGATTCATCAAAAACCTAATCATACATATACGTATACCAGAAACACTTAACGATTACTTAGTTCGTATTAACCTGTAATCGCACAATATGGCATGGTGACAATGACAAGGGTGTCAGTGGGGTATATTATTTATTTGATTATGTTTGCTGGACATAACCTTTGTTTCCACCTGTTGAAATAGGTTTAAGGCCAATAGGCAACTGTACGTTGAATTTCAAGTAAACTGACCAACTCATAATGGGGAAACTTTTGAAACAGAGATGACTGATAATACTGTCACTATTACAAGTTTCAGGAAGCAGAAGAGCTGTTGTGGTGAAAAGAAGAAGATGTCTCAGATCTGAAATGAACATCATTATAGTTTAATATCCTAGAAGCAGGCTCTTACCATGCACAGTAAAGGAGTGATAACAGTCCAGCTCCATTTCATCCAAGCATTTGGTCTGTAGCCCATCATGTCCTCAAGCGCATCATAGAAATTATCAACGCCTGTGAAGACATTAAAACTTCTTCTTATTTTTTCAAGTATAAGTTACTGTAATTCTTTAATGCACCAGGACTACTTATTTCACAGCACTTAATAGGCAGGGGTTTTTTTGCAGGTTCACAATGTATCTAATTTCCAATGTACATGCAAAAGCTTCTTTCATTTGCAGTTGCATTACCAGCAAATGCTGTGTGGTCTGATAAGATAGATTGCACTTTCTCAAAGAGCATCCATTAAGAAACAGCCAAAGACAACTGGACATCACATTCAGTGCGTGAAGAAATTGCAAGATAATAAATTAAAAGCATGAATTTCTGGTGCACTAAAGTCAGCTAGTAAACAGATCACAATGCAAATTGTATTTCTGAAGGATGGTACTCACCATAAACCCAGGCAACAGCTATACATTCAAAGAATGCCACCCACAGAAGGCACACACCGCTAGCTGCATAGTAATCAAACAGCTGGAAAACATACATGCCACCCTGCAGAGAGAAAGACAAACAATGTAATTCTTGAAAGATCATTAAACCAGAGAGACACTAAAAATGACCAAACTTGAGAGAAGCAAACATGTGCACACGTGAGACTGCTACTGTGTCTGAGTGTGTGTGCGTGTACATGCCTGTGTGTGCTCACGTGTGTGTGTGTGTGTGTGTGTGTGTGTGTGTGTGTGTGTGTGTGTGTGTGTGTGTCCAGTGTGAAAACTGTTTTAACAATCATGGGAATCCTAAACTTGAACCAGGCCACCGCAGCCATAAAAAGATGTTGTCATGGGAACGGCAGAGGGAGAGAGAGAGCGAGGGAGGCAAAAAGGGGCAGAAAATAGAATGACAGTGAGAAGGTTGAAGGTTGTGTGAGAACAGAAAGAGGACTGGGAGGGTGGCGGTTTGAAAGGAAGGAGAGGATGAGGAGAAATGAAGAAAAGAGTCATCATGTAAACTGAAAGTATGATCATTTTGGAGTCAGCGTAGCGGAGGGAGTGTGAGATTAAGGAGATAATTTGGAGACTTTGGATGGACAGAAACTTTTCACCACAGATAAACATTAACTTAAAAAGGTCTCATTTGCTCCTTTGGTTCACTTGCTGATTTAAACGCAGGGGAAATGAGGTATTTACATCTTTTTTTATCATAAATAGAGGAACGGGAGACGGAGTAACCAAAAAAAAAAAAAAAAAAAAAAAAAAAAAAAAAAAAAAAGGGACTCGTCATGGTTACCGCATTGCATAACCCGGCAGTTCCGCTCAAGGTGGGAAGTTATTGATAGGTATCTGCTATCTATACTATTCTGTCAAACATTTTGGCTCGTAAACAACCACTATGTGATATGTGCACTGAAGGTGCAATGAATCGTATAAAACTAGTCTGAAGTTTTTCGCTCACCGCGAAGTAGGGTGTAATGCAGAGGCAAAGCTCAGCACAGGTATAATAATGTCTGGCAGGAAGCTATTCACTAGGTTTCTTTGCAGTCACGGACCGTTACGATGCGTTTTTCCATTCATTTACTCACTACCTCTGCTGCTTCTGGCTACGTCACATACTGTGCCAAGGGTAGCGCAGAGTGGTTTTAACCTCTGATCATGTGTAGGCACCGTTGTAAAGATAGTAGGGAAAAAAAGGGTGGTACAGCTGAACAACAGATGAAAAATGTTGGTGGTTTCTGTCTTGGAGACTTGAAGATGGATTATAAAATCCCCACTGGTGATGTCAGTGGTCCGATTTTGAAATAAACCTACATAAATTTAAGATTTTGGCACTAGATTAAATACATCACCTAATAGTGCTTTCACTAAAGCTCAAAATTTACACTATAGCAGCAACCGACCTTTCTCATAACAGACATATGCTATGACTTGTCATATCATGAAAAGCTCAGGCGGTGATAAGGATCTATCGGTGAAGGGCAAGTGTTGGGAGGATGATATATCACAATGATGCGTCCGTATAATTCAAGGGGGAGGAAATGTCAATAGCTTAATTAATCGAGTTTGAGAAAAGGTCGGTAAAGAGAGAATCAACATGGGTGATGCAAAGAGAAAGAAGGTATGAGAAACAAGAAGAGTCCAGAAGAGAACAGAGAAAAGGGCAGGGAAGGTGTACAGACAGACGAGGCAGAAGAATTAAATAGACAGAAGAGAGTATGAAGTAAGGAATGATGAGAAACGGGAAAATAGGCAAGGGACAGAAATAGGAGAGAAGGAAGAGAACGATTTGGAAAAGCTAAGTCAGGTCTACTGTATCTATAAATACTGGAGGAGGGAAGGGAAGTTCTCATGACATGACAGTATAAATAGCCCCCTGTCATCTCCCCAGAGAGCGACACTAATAGCTGTCTGAACACTGTTGTTCCTGGTAATGGAGCTGTTGGCTAGACACAATGAGGTCAACAGCCACAGTATATGTATCCAATTATCAATAAATGCTGTGTGCATATTTATACTGGACTGTGATTTGTGACCATTTGTGACCACCATTTGTCCTAAAAGTATTAGTAATGTTTTTTTGGGGTTCATAGTATTTCATAACACTAAGCGTTTTTATGATGTTAGCACGGCTCCTATAAATGTTCTGGTCACGATTTCTGATTCTGGTGCTTTTCATCTCAGCTTTTCTGTTCACTTTTCATGGTGTTGTTACCTTGGTAACCATGGCGAGTCCAAGCAGGTAGCTGATGCAGCAGATGATAGCGATGAAGACCTCTCTGCGGTAACCCTTCCTTAGGAAGGACGGATACAGATCCACCAGTGATGTGATCTGCCCTTCCACCTCCACAAACTGCAGGCGGACACAGAGACATTGTGATGTCAAAAAAAAGATGGATATAGATCCACTGACTACATTACCTGCCATTTAATAGTATCAAGGCTTTACATCTTTTGGTTCCCATCATTTCAGTTTCCTTTGGTAAAAAAGCATAATCTGATATCATACAGGATTTCTAGGTATTGAAGGAATTCAGCTTAAACAGCTTTAGTTAAATCCATTTATTCTGGGAAGTCTGAGTGAGCATACATATTCATTTTCAGGATGTATGTGCTTTTGCTTTCACATACAGGGACATGAGGGTCTGTGCCCATGTAATGGACTGTATGCATAGACTGTAGCTGCAGCTTATGGGTACACTTGTGAAAATGCCCCCCTATTTTTGCCTTTGTGACACAAAGTGGAAAGCCCATGAAGTTCCTAACATTTTCAAAGACCATGACTGAATATGTACAATGTTTTACTGTATATCTCAGTAGGTTTTGTTACTTTTTACTAATATGTAGTCCATTAACAAATATCTTCTGTCTGGTGTTTTAAAGAAGCAGTAAATGTAAACATCTAAAATGAAACACACTGCCTCTGTACTGCAGATAATATCCAAATACCACTTGGTTAGTACAATTATTATTATTTTTTTAATCATCCTACAATGTTTAAGTGCTACTTTTATTTTGCATCACATTAAAGAAACTGTAACTTTAATGGTATTGTTGGTTTATGAAAAAAAAGTGTTGTGCACAGGCTTCAACTGTTGTGCACAGGCTTCAACTGTTGGTGCGTGTTTTGCTCATTTGCACCTAACAGCCGTTTGACAGTTGCTACTTCCTTAACGTCTACACTCATGCGGTCCAAAGTTGTAAATGTGTGAAAGTTCAAGTTTCTGCTAACCTGACTGTCGAGGCCAAGCAGCAGCAGCATAATGAAGAAGAGAACTGCCCAGACTGTAGGAAAAGGCATCATGGTTACAGCCTTGGGGTAGGCAATGAACGCCAGGCCTGGACCTGGAGAGGAGGGGGTTCGGGGGTAAGAGCAGACAGAGGGGTGTGGGGGGGAGGCAACATTAGTATCATGGTAAGCTCATCTGATCTGCATCCCTGTGGGAAGAAAAGGCCCCAAACAATGGAGACGCAGAACCAGATATGAATGCATGATCAAACTGGTGCTACAGTACTGCGAATAGATGTGTGTGTGTGTGTGTGTGTGTGTGTGTGTGTGTGTGTGTGTGTGTGTGTGTTTTATGTATTTGTACGAAGCTAAGTGTTGCCAAGGAAAGTGTCTTAAATATGTCTAATACATATCTTTACTTACCCTTTACTTCCTTCTTTGTAAACTTATGACACATCACTAGCTATATGCACAATTTCATACCATATACAATAACATATAACAAGAAAAACAATAATAGGGGAAACAGAACAATAATAAAGAACATATAGAGTATAATATGTAATGTAAATTATTCTGAGTATCATGTAACAGCATCCCTGCAGAAGTAAGTCATGAGAGAAATTGTGAAGCATAGTATAAATGTAAGTGTGTACAGTATGAAGAGGATCATAAGAAGTGTATGTGTTGTGTGGAGTTAAAAAGACCGTAGACCACTGTAAACAGTGCAGCCGTTAGATTAAATATTTAACCTGCTTAAGGTATGCTTGATTCACCTTTCCTGGCAGCTGAAAGCCTTTAACGTGGAGACAGGCAGCTGTTAGAAAAGGGAAATCAAGGGCATTTTGGTTTTTCAAATAATTTAAGTATGTCATCAGCTATGTCACTCAAGCAATTTTGCATCCCTGACTGAATCAAGCACGATCCTTTTTATGAGGAATGCAAAATGGCTGACGCAAAACAGCAGCAGATGCAAACTGGGATGTCAAATAAAAAGCAAAGTTTTTTGTTTTTTTTTCTGAGGTCTAATTTGACAGATGCTTCATTGGGAACTGTAAAACAGAAGTCAAGAAACAAGGAAGCAGTCGTAACAGCAAAACAGCATTGCAGCTGATAGCATGGTACATAAATACGTTCAGTTTTTGTTGCGAATTATGACAAGGCATCCAACCAAACACCGCGTTGACTCGAAAAATAATACCAACTTCCATTCCCTGAGGGAAAATGCTAGCAGAACGTTAATCAAACCTGTAGTATAATAATTCATGAAATAGAATCCACATCAAACAGTGTGATAACTCACTTACTTGACTTGAGTTACTTGACTGTAAAAAACATAAAGTACAACATTTTAGGTTTCCAGATAATTCTTTTACACTCGAGTCAAAAGAAGCCATAGCATATCTGCTTACACTGAACTAGGAAAACCACACTATATCCTCAGTCAACTTTATCTCTAATTATGTTGTGCACATCAGAATCAAGCAGTCCCAGTTAAAGCAGACTTACTTGTGATGTTCCTAAACTTCTGATAACTTCCTATGTATGAACACCTATTGTATTCTTCTGCCTAGTTGGCCTGCTCAATTCTTCTGGTTTTAAAGCACATGGACACACGTTTTCAGGCTGGAAAATTAGATCTTAATTAGTAACTGAGTTCCATGTTGCTCATGTGCCATGTTCTGTCCCACTTCTATACTTTAGAAACCTGTGGAGCATCAACCCACTCGCCAAACAGAACGTTGATATTGCACAATTCTGTAAAAAATTAATTTGGCACTGGCTGTAAATTGGAGACAGAATTGTCCAATATTCGTATCGACTGGGCTGGCAGCATGAACTGTGTTTGACGTTAGCAGACAGCGCTAAGCTAAATTGGCTTTCGTCAAACTGGATCATCTTGGGGCAAGAGATGACGCCTGGGTTTCAACAAAGCTCTTCACGCTAACAGTGTCATTGTTCTGTTATGAGCAAAAATGACAAGTTTTAAACTTGTGCCACATTTGATGTAAAACATGATGCCTTGTCTTAAGCATGTAACAGAAGCATGTAACATACAGAAAAGAGAAGATTCAAACTTTCCAAAGAAGCCCCAGAAACTTTCAGTTCTCTGCTGGTGTGTTAACACCTTTCTTTGAGTGTAGCTGGTACTTTTAACAAATGAGTCATCTGTTATCTGCTTTGGGATTTGAAAAACAAGCATAAATGAAATCCTTGTGTGATTCTACTGAAAGACCAGGCATGACTTCCCCCTAAAACTCCCGTTATCACTTACAGTTGCATGAAAGCTTTTCCAAAACACTTCAGTCTCATGTGATCATGAATACATGTTGTAAAACTGAGATCCAGTCCTTTCTTTCTTTGTTGAAATGTTCAGTAGTTCATGTTTTCCATGGAGTTTTGTGATTTAGTCACTACATTTCATGGCTTTGGGCCCTAACAGACAGAACCACAACAATGGTGATGTCAGTTTGTCACGTGTAGGTAGAAAAGGAACCTCTCAGAAACAAAGCTCTGATAGCATGTTTAAGCTATAGGCACTGGCACAAGATGCACTGTATAAAAATGAAATCCTCCTTCCAACATCTCTCTCTCTGAGCCCTAATCCATCCAACTTGCTTTCCTCGAATGATGCACTAACAAACCGACCAAATAGGTTCATATTTATTCACATTCTGCTTTTGTCAAGGAGTGTTTGATTGCGGAAACTTCCATATTCCGATGCCGTCATTTGTAATTAATCAAGGAATCCATTTAATTCATCATTTAATATCATTCAGTTCTAAATGAAACGTTTTGACTAATTCTCTTTTGGGTTTCGTTGCTGTTTTTTTCTGTAATAACTGTTGTTTAATTTGTTAACCAGGAAGCAGCGCCCACCATCACTGCCGCCTTTACAGGACCCTCGTACCTGACTCTGCCACATCAGCAATGTCCACCCCTTGCTCTTGTGCCATGAAGCCCAGGACGGAAAATATTGCGAAGCCAGACACAAAACTGGTACCACTGTTGAGGGCTCCCAGCAGCAAACAGTCCCTATGTCACACATATGTCATGAGGAGGATTTGTTAATGAACACACAAGGATCCCTTCACCCCCCTCTCTCCCCTACAGCTAACCCCCTCACTGAAAACTGACGCCTCACCTGTAGCAGTTGTATTTGTACTTGTTGTAGCTCCCCAAGGAGGTCATGGCGCCCAAACAGATGGCATAGGAGAAGAAGATCTGGGTACCGGCGTCAATCCACACCTGCCAAAAAGGGGGGAGAGAATGGGGACAGAAAGGCTGAGGCCTGCTGATGAGGGGAAGCACAGCATGGGCAATGCGAGAGGTTTGGGGAGGAATTAAAGTCTTGGGTAACAGGGAAGTCAGGGTTTAGTAGAGTCTGGCAGAGATACCTAAATTTGGCTTGAGAAACACCAGATGGACTGTCTATCAGGTTGTTCATATTGAACACTGTGATGTTCCCCTCTTATCCTTAGTTTTTTTTTGGGGTTGCGATTATTCTGTTCTGTTCAAATCAATTTCTTAGAATTTGCCTTTAGTCCACGTCTCTTGTTTTTGCCATGCCTTCAGAGCCGGGTCGTGACAAACACAAAACTCAGTTTTGCCTTGTGGTTTTGAAGTCTGTTTATTCGTCCCAAAAACCTAATGTTCCAACTGTACAGATGCCAGCTGTAGCTAGATAGTAGCCTATGCAAGAACTACATATGCCAAGCATGTCTGAATGAGCAGAATAATCAGTATCACTTCTTATAGAATATGGCTAAACTATACCTAATGTTGGTGAATTACTGCCTCTCAAACTGGTGTGTCAGATTCTACCAATGGATTATACACTGCAATAAAACATTTTATATGCAGCCAGACAAATGTTTAACTTGTTCAACGCTGAGGGGAGCAGCACGCCTAGATGTTTGGCTGGACTCAAACAGAAGCCTAACAGTGGGGGGTTTTTTTTCACTAAAGGCAGAACAGGGGCACCTACCTCTGGGTCCTTCAGGCGAGCAAGGTCAGGGTACAGGTAGAACTTGATGCCCTGACTAGCACCTGGCAGTGTCACACCACGAATCAACAGCACGATGAGCATGATAAAGGGGAACGTGGCTGTGATGTAGACCACCTGAGAGAGATCACAATACATAAAGTCAACGTTACACATTATAGAAACTCTCCAGTTTGTATTATTCTAAAGGGGAAGTATATTAGTGAGCTGTTGAAGCTTGAATTTAAATGACATGGATGTTAACTTGGTATTTGGTGTACTAGCTAATATATTTGGTGTCATTACAGGGAATTATGCTTGATAAATGTGTGAACTCTGGAAGTCATTTGGGGATTATGACAAGAACAGACCACAGGCTGTCCCTTAAATCAATAGCAGTGTATCAGTATCTGTTATTTATACAGTGTTGACCACACTTGGCCTTGTAGGAGTGACTACCAGAGTTACAACTTGGAGCAACCAGTGAGCATAAATCAGGCCTGACCAATCAATAAAGAGTGTTGAGGCTATAAAAAAAGGAGTAGTCTGGGATTGATTGAGCTGTCTCTGGTCTCAGGGCAAATTGTTGATGTTGTTGCTGTAGCAGCAATTGAAATGTTCCCTTTTCTGCATTTACCCAAGGCTACATCCATCCTGCAATACTGTACAGTGCAGTACAGTTTTCACTCAGTATGCATCTTGGTGTTAATTCTTAGTATATCCGTATAAGTATTTTAGTATTTTTATTTAAACTCTTTTGCTATTCAAGTCATCCCATTAGCCAACTTGTTCCCTTAAAAATAGCATTACAGATATAATACTGTCAGTCCCAAAATTGTACTGTGCATTAGTATTAGCAAGGAAACCAAAAGAACACAATTAGCAAAAACATTGAGACAACAGCTGCTAGATTTTGACCATGACAAAATGTCCATGAATGCAAAATAAAAGTCAGGTTTATGGTCAACAAGGAATAATTTTCAGCAAACAAATGCACTTCCCAGTTTATAGCTACATACCATTAAACACACTCTTTTTCACAGGAATCTTAATAAACCTTCTCCTTAGTCCGTCTAAACTAGGTGAGCCAGCTACAGTTTCCATCGGAGTTCATTAAACCCTTGCTTACTGTCTAGAAGTCTTAAACGCATATCAGGGGATGTATTTGTCTGAAGGATTCTGCTGCGAAGCACAAAATCTTTTGGAGGACATACAACAGCAGAGTGAAACCAGATGTTGCTCTAACAGTATTCCATTCTTCTTGCCTCTGAAATGTTTGTAGACTAGACTCTACTAGTAACAAAAACTCAATTGTGCATACAAATGAAGTCATTCCTAAACAATGATCTCAGAAGCCTTGAAACACATCAGCTATGCCAGATGATATATAATTGTGTAATTTTTTTTAAGTCTACTTATTTATGGGCTGAAAATGGATTATTCAAGTTTTGTCCTTTTAAACTGAAGAAATTGACTTAAACCAACAACTCTGCGAGCACCTGCACTTCCTTAGCCAACCTCGGCCTTCAGAAAAACTTGAATTTTCCTGCATTCAGTTTAAACATAGCCTCTGTTGCTCTCATGGTCAGAACGGAGAGAAAAAAAAAAATCATATGAGCATCAGCCTGTCAAGGGTTTCTGGCAGTCACTATGATACAACAATGATGAGCCAGTTCTTCAAGAAAATGTTTCTCTTGATCTACAGTGCAGAACACAACCAGAAGCCAAAGAAATAATACTAAATATAAGACAGAATATGATAAAAAAAAAAAAACATTACCTTGCCAGTGGACTTGACTCCCTTCCAGATGCAGAAGAAGCAGATGACCCAGACGAGCAGTAAACACAGAGCCAGGTCCCATTTAACAGGACCAATGTCCTCTATACCATTGCTGATACCCAGCACATTATGTCTGCAACATAAAATAAAGCTCTATTAGCTTCATGACATGGTGACAAAAAGCTAGAGACAGTTTTATTCATTTCTACTAAATCCTCGTTCAGTCTGTGGGAGCCGGTGTATGCACATCTGTGTGTGAGTCTTTACATAATGAACAAATAACTGATGTGTGAGCTACTGTCCTTTGGACAGTTGAATAGTTTGTCTTTGGCAGGGGTTACCAACCACTGAATGCTGAACATTTAACAATATAAAACCTAATAAGCATTCTTTGGTTTACAAAAGTTGATTCAAAGTGAATCAAAGCTTTGGTTCCTGCCAAAGTGAGAGGTTAGCATCTACATTTTAGAGCACTAATTAAAGACATTATACCTTAACTAATCTTTTCACATGAAAATTATGTGTGTTTATGCAAGTAAGCAGGTATGTGTGCCCTTATGTAACTCACTCCCAGAACTCGGTGACGGGGGAGGTGAAGTTGGAGGCGTTGGCAGCCACCCAAAGGGATTTGTTCTTGCGGTAGGTGTCCTCGATGCAGCGATCGGTGTTCCAGGGCTGATTGCACTTGGCCCAGGGCAGCTCCGGCTGAAAACACTGAAATGAAAAGAAAAAAAAAAAAAAAAGTTAAATCTTTGCTTTGGAAAATGCCTGCTACTGATTGGCTGTTTCCTCATTGTTCAGTCAACAACTGTTAGGAAATCATTGACTAAAGACATCAAAACATGGGTGAATGTTTGAACACAGCTTCTCTTTTTTATCTATGCTAGGTGTTCATGACATAAGTCTGATAATACACTGATACAGAACATAAACCAAGACACTTGAAACTCCATCTTATTCTTTTTGTACCAGTCTTGGAAGCTAAAGCGCAAAGATATACGTGCTGCTGACCTCAACAGTCCAAAGTGATGCAGGATATACAAGGCAGCCATCATGCTCATGCATAGTTAAAAGCAAGTACATCTCTGGCCCTTGTCTTCCATGGGGATTCAACATTTTCCATACTTTTGTACCACAAATTTTTGCTGACCTCATTGTAGTCTGTGAAGGCTCAAAAAGCCCCTTCTTGGGGTTTAGGGGCACCATCAAAGGGCTTTGTAGTTTATTGGATCAGCCTTAAGCCAGTTTTCAAAGACATCAACAAGGTTGTACAATAGAATGTGACATTAATATAAACAGTTTTTATAACTGAGCAAATCATCTTTGCCTCATTTTTTTTTTTACCTTAAAAACATTGTGGTTGCTCTGTGAACCAAAACTGTTAACCAGTCAGTTACAGAACCATGCCTATGGTTTGGGGGTTTTGGGGTCATGTCAATGTTTAAACCACTGTTCTGATTGGACTGGCTTTCAGCAGCCAACCTCAAACCATGTTTGTCAAACTAAAATATCACAGTGAATGCTGGCCTTTAGGATAGTGAAGTGAAACCTCTCGCACTGTTCTAAAGTTCAAATGCAGCACAACTTTTCAACAGTTTCAGTTAAGTTGATCTTGTAACATGTTAAAAGATTGTTGTTACATCTTCATTTAGGCAACCATTGTTATTTTTATTTTTCGTGTGAAACTGATGTTTTTGGACTTGATTTATATGTTGGCAAACAAAGGAGGAATGATCCAATTTAGCAATTTTTATATGAACTGACTGGCTTATATTCCATTCATGTGCTATTCATTTGGCTGAACCTGATACATTTTACAAGACAACCTTGAGTTTCTGCAACACTGACATTCCAGCTAGTCAGTATTTAGTATGTAAGTCACACTGCCCTGATATAAAGTATCTCTACAACGCAAGTCACTTATTATGGAAGTGAGAGAATTATAAAATGTAGAGATAACAGAGAGATTACTTTTTTATTGCTATCAGGGTTTCTTTTTACCAAACCTACCTGGAACAGATAGTAGAGGCCCCAGGCAAGGATGACGATGTAGTAGATATTTAGCAGGGACACGATCACAATGGAGGCATAACCAATACCTGGAGAGAGGAGAGAGTTCAAGGTGATGAGACATAAAGACTGGCAACAGCAGAGATAGCAACATTTACAGATAGAGATAAACAGATAGAGACATTTTTTAACAAGTAATGACCTGAACCAAATTCCTTTTTTTTTAATTATATATACCATTTTTATGGAAACATTACCTAGGGCTTGAACTTATGGCCTAATGAAAGACACAGGTATTTCCCCATGTGACTGAGTGAGAGTCAACTTCCTCTCAAAAACCCCACAGTTTACCATATTAGTCCATGTAGTGTCTCCAATTTTTGCGCAGGAGGAGGGTTTTTGGTGCTGGATTATGATTGGCCTGAAAACAGGATGTAAAACTAGTCTGTTCATGATGAAACCTTCATGTCACATTTCATGAAATGAGAACCGACACAGATGATGTTTGGTGGATAAAAGTTATGTGCCGGTTGCGTTATCTTCACAGTGAATAACATTTGATATGATGGTTGTAAATTTTCCTCCAGAAATGAATAGGATCAGTCTTGGATTTATGCTTTTGTCTTAGTCCTTTGGTCCCACTCTTGGCTGCTGCCAAAGCCACATTTGTTCAAACCCAAAGAACTTTAATATAAATTCAATAATCCATCAGGCTAAATTATAAGGAAAAGTGTTTGGAGTGATTTAAATGCATGTAGAATATGGTCATCTGATGTAATGTTGCAGCCCTAAAAAGGAGCTTTAAGAAATTGAGTAAGAAAAAAATCATACTAAATTAAAAATGCCTCTGCTAGGATTGTGAAATGAACCTGGGTCACAAAAGGTAACATAAATCCACCCAACCACATCCTGACTGCATGGCTGTCTCTCAGTGTTAAAGATACTACTTCCCGTTTGAGGGATTTCTCTTTTTTCTTCTATATGGCAGAAACACTGTGTTCATTGTTTGCACTGTCAAACACTGCGTTTGAGTCCTGGTATTTACCGCAACCAAGCCGTAAATCCACATACTCGTTTCTTCAGCTTTAACAGTTGGCATTCTGAAGAGTAGTATGTCGATATTCTTTCACATGAGCTTGTGTTCATAAGTACCGGCAGTATATTTAGCCTTCTCAAGGTCTACAGCAATCATGTTTTAGTTCTTTAACCTTCAGTGGTTTGGCCCTGTGTTTAAATTTCGTTTGACATGTTTAGGAGACCAATGAGCTGACTTTTATTGCGTCAATACTGGCCTTGAAACAAAGCTGGTGGTAAACATGGGATCAGGGCTGTGTGTGTGTGTCTGGTCTACGCAAGGTTATAAAGATAAGAAAATCCCTCAAAATGGGAACAGGTGGGATTTGGGTCAAGATTTGGATTAGGTTTTAGGTTAGAGGTTAAGTAACGATTGTGGTCGCTGAAGGTCCTCCTAAGTATATTAGTGCAAATTGTGTGTGTGTGTTTTTTTTTTTTTGTTTTTTTTTTTATTTTTTAGTCAGCCCCCACAGCCAACAGAGGCCACTCATCCAAATTAATGTCCTTCAACGTCATTGTCCATCTGTGTGTGTGTGTGTGTGTGTGTGTGTGTGTGTGTGTGTGTGTGTTGGTTTTGTGAACAGTCTACATGAATTTGAGACAGTGTCTTTATGTGTGTGTGTGTGTGTGTGTGTGTGTGTGTGTGTGTGTGTGTGTGTGTGTGTGTGTGTGTGTGTGTGTGTGTGTGTGTGAGGAGAGACAATGTGTTTCACCATCGCATCATGTCCTTTTAATCACTCAGCTAATTAGCAGCTGCCAAGCATCTACATCTTTAAACACACACACGCATGCACGCCCGCACCGACTTGCTCGGATCACATGGAACAGTGCTGATCAAACAAACAGATGCGTCCTCCTCCATGATGTCATTTCTTGTGCTCATCTGCTGACCTCGGCTGACCTCGCTCAGCCTGTTTACATTAACAATTGATCCTTTTAAACTCACATAACCACTGTAAAAATATATTTTCGCACTGCACACGTGATGGCTCCCAGAGAGGAATCATTTGGGAGGAAAAGAAAAAGTCTCTAGAGGATTGAGACTGAAGAAAGGACCGCCTATAATTCAATATCAGGACGATAATACTTGCTTCTAATTGGCCTTTTGAAATGTGTTTCACATCTGTCTAACCTCTAAAATATTGTCTTGATTATGTAGATACTTCAAGTAATAAAAGTACTACAGTGGTTGTGTATGGAAAACCTATAACCAGAATTGATTTCAGTGTTAAATTTTGATCACATCTGACAAGCATGATTAAATAATGGCAGAAGACACACATTACGATTGTTAAGTGGATTACAAATATGATTTGGGCGTAACCTCTGATCCTGTCGAGTTAGACTGTTCCAGTTTGAAGCATAGAGTAGGTGGTATTGAAGATTCTGATGAAGTCCCACATTAAAATGACTGTAATTGCCTGAATATGCCTGAATAAAGACAATGTTTATCTGTCGAGATGATAAACATTAAAAAGGTGGTGGTTGTATTATAACCTAGGGCTTGACATTTACATATTCACAATAGCAATTGTTCTTGATGTTTAAGGCTGGACCACATCATGTGTGCAATAGGGAGAAATATTTATTAAAAACAGAACTGGGCAAAAACCACAAGCAAATGTTAAACTACAAAGTCCTTTAAGTGAGCGGCAATTACTCTGCGATCCACTTCATCAGGTTTTAATACAGAGCCGCAGCTCTCCATGCATCATCTCATCCAAATTTAGCATTTCTTCTCCACCTTCCCGCATGGATTCCGGTGTTAAGTAGTGAGACCAACTGTTTTTCATGAATGTCTGTTTCTACTTTAGTATAAGAACATGTCGAAAGTGTGATTGTGGCAGTTGCTGAGCGACGTGAATCTAATAATAGTCTACCTATTGCCCAGATTATTTTCAAGGCATTTACTCAGTCATTCAATATGTGCTTCCCAGATGCCAAGACTAACAATGTGGTATGTTGGTAGAAACGGTTGTTATGTGTGGCTTGTATGTGTAATCTTGTATATTATAAAGACATATAAAAAGTAGTCTGCTTGGAATAAATCCTTTAAATAAGCATCTACTCCTTCTATCTCATTAAAAATCCCAGAATCTATTAATATGCACATTTTGTTCATTTCTTAAGTCTCCTACTTCACTGTAAAATTCCATTCTCAGTGTACGTGCGCTGACGGCTTTACGTTTCTACATCACACGTGTATGAGTTGCAAATTGGACCATATTTGCGATGTCATAAATCATGCTCATAGGCAGAAACTATGAATATATGAGCTCCAAAACAACTTTCAGCAGATGAATGTGAAAACATCCTTCTAGTGTCAAACTCTGCACATACATCATTCAAACTTCACACTGTAGGAACAAGAAGAAACACTGATTTCTGACTGGAGGGGGGTCTGTTCCCAGCTTAAGGAGAGCAGCCTAATCACATGTTGCCTGATAATTAGGCTGAACTGTGTCTTCTCTTAATGATTCACTCTGGCATTGTGTATCAATCAATGGTGACAGATGCACAATCTGTCCTGTTTACATCCTTTTCTGTCTACACAGTAGCAGCTGACAGGAACTAGTGTTTTTCATTTTCAATCAATATTGATTGATATAGATTTAAGATCGATGTAGGGCGACTTAGAACAATCTGTATGACTGCATTGATCTCACCAACGCTTGCCGTCATTTTTCTCTCTGGAATGGGTTGGACTGATATGGACAGACAGACACTGACTAGCTCTGTTTTTAATGAACACGAGACCCTTTTATATCCATGAAAAATCTGAGTTGAGGGTATGTGTGGAATCTGACTAATCACGTGTCTCAATCCTCTCATAAATAAGGTATACATGGATCTCTCTTTCGCCTCCCTCCTCCACCTACCTTTTCTCTCTCTTTCCCCCTCTCCCTCCTTGCTTCAGTTCTTTTTAACTTTTCCTTCTCTCCTCTTTGTTTCTTCCATTCTGTCTCTCCTTTTAAGTCCTCCACTATTGACACCTCTTTTGCCTTCTTCTTTTGCTCACTCCCTTTCTTTCTTTCTTTTCCTTCCTTCCAACTCCACCATTCCTTTGCCTCTCTTTCCCCTCTTCCTTTGTTCTCCCTCTTTTCTCGCCCTCCCCGTCTCCTCTTTTCCATTCACCCTTTCTCTCTGCCTTTATTTCTCTCCCCCCTTTCACTCGTCTTTATCAATCTATCTCTCAGCTCCTCAGATCTTGCTGCCCTGCTTCTTTTCTTTCGCTCTCTCCATCTCTCTGATGTGTTGCCGGGCTGTTGCCATAGCAACATGTGATTTGGGACACTCTGTACACCGTCTCGGTTACGTGTGCTTGTGTGCGTGAGACGGGGGTAATAACGTGTGTAAAAGAAAGAAGAAACGTGTTGAAGTCTAAGTGAAAACTAAATTTATGAACGTGAGGTTTATGTGTGTTTGCTCAGTATGAATATTAAGAAGATAAACCGAAAAGAAATAATCACTCAGAGCAGAGTAGACAGTGATGAATACATTAACCTTATTTCAGTTGGAGTCGAACAGGAGGAGAGGGGGAGGTGAGAAGAACTGATGAGGGAAGAAAGGGGAGGAAAGGAAGGAAATATGACGGAAGAAAGGAGAAGATCCATCCAGATCCATCTGACACCAGAAGTAACGATCAGGAAAGACATCGAAGAACCCTAAATGTGCATTCTTGGAAGAGAGAAGGTTTTCACAGGAGAGGAGGTGAGAGCGAGAGAAGGTTAAGGCAGAATAGAGGCCTCAGTGTGTTGGTGTACCAGTGCAGGCCTGGTTGCCTGGTAACGGTTGCAGGGTAAAGTCTCAGCAGTCTGATTGGAGGAGTGTGCTGTGACTCAGCCTTATGTTGCACAGCCATTCCTCTGTGAAAAGCAACAGAGGTCTGGAAAAAATGTAAACCCAGTAGTTGAGCAGAAAAAGGCTGGCGACACCTTGCTTTGTGCTCATCAGTCAAACCTGTGAGGCGTCACAAGGATGGGTGGAGCTATGGTCCAAACTGTGGGTGGAGCTAATGACAACAGACAGCAATTGTTCCAATGAACTGCATTTGCTGTTTTTGCTGCGCACTGTAAAGAATGAAGCCTCATTTTTTATAACTACTGTATATAATGTGAAGGTAACATAATGTGTATCATGTGACCAGCCTTCACCAAGGCTATAAATGAAATAGCTATGATGGTACAGACACCCTAAAATTGGGTTTTATACATCTCAAAGTTTTATTATATATATATATATATATATATATATATATATATATATATATATATATAATATATATATATATATATATATATATATATATATAAAAACTTAAAGGTCCAGTGTGTAACATTTAGGGGGATTCATTGGCAGAAATTAAATAAAATACTCATGTTTTCATTACTGTTTAATTACCTGAAAATAAGAATTATTGTGTTTTTGTTATCTTAAAATGAGCAATTTTTTTCTATAGAAGGAGTGCGTCCTCTTCTACAGACAGACAAAAACCAAACACCAGCTCTAGATGGGACCTTTCATGTTTTTTGTGGCCACTGTAGTTTCTCCTACACGCTTGGAAGGCTGAGCTGTATTCAAATGGTAGCAATCTGCAACTTCACCACTAGATGTCACTGAATCCGACACACTGGTGTGTTTAAGTGGTTCTGTTACCTTGTGAATGTAAACCACAATTTCATAAATTAGACTCTGTCTTCATAGTGTTAGGGGTTTCCATGAGCAGACTCTTAGAGCCCCCATGAGAGAAAAGACACACCTGGGACACTGTTGATGAGGGTGAATACACTACGCACCCACCACTCCAACCTCCACACCATTTCTTGTTGCTGCTCTATTTGTGTTATGACTGACATTGATCTAATGTACCCAATCAGGTCATCAAATCAGAACAGAGGCTTTGGTGAGGGGCTACATACCAGTAAAGATGGGGCAGAGCTTCTCCCAGCAAGTGATGCCACCCTCAGAGGTGAACTGACCCAGGGCGACCTCCAAGAAGAAGACCGGCAGACCTCCGCCAAACAGGAAGATGAAGTAGGGGATGAGAAATGCACCTGGGTGGAAGGGAGGAAGGATGGAGCAACAGCAGGAAAGATGACAGAGAGAAAATGACATTCAGGAATGGGTGAAGACAAGATGGAGGGAGGAATTTATAGATGAAGAGCAGGGGGATCAAGCAGATAGGAGGGAAAACATAATCAGCATGAATTCAAAGAATCACAAAACAAAGCAGGTTTCATAAGCAAATCTTCCTTACATGTAAATAAAGAGTTAGTGCTATTTGAATGCTTTACCTCCACCATTCTTGTAGCAGAGGTACGGGAAACGCCAGACGTTCCCTAAACCAACAAAGCCGCCAGCCACAGACAGAACAAAGTCCAACTTGCTGGCCCACTTCTCCCGCTGGGGGTGTTTGCCCTCTGCTTCATCTTCAGGCCGGGTGCCAGGGCTCTTACCAGGAGATGGCTTCAGAGTGTCCTTATGGAAATCCTTCAGGCACTGAAGTTTCTCTTTTTGAGCCATTCTATAGAAACAGAAGACAGACAGAAGAATCCAGTGAGAATTGGTTTAAATGTATTCTTAATATAAAATTAAAATTAAATATTGCTGTTAATACATTAAAAACTTAATAGATTTACAGATTTTAACAGAACCACTTCATGGTGTGGCAACCTGCCAAAGTGGCTGGTAGACCAACACAGGAGCCACAGCCCACGATTTTCCAGCATTTGGCTGGTGGCTGGTGGCTGGTGGTAATGGTTTCTCAGTTTGTGTTCAACAACTCAAATTAAATGGAATTCAAAAATGAATACATGTGCTCAAAAGGAGAGAGGAAAAATAAAGACTAGGAAGTTAATTGTTAGTATGTGACTGTACTGTATACTGTGTAAGAGCTTTTCTATGCGTGTGCATTACTTGCTGCCTAAGTGAGGGACATTTTCAGCAAAGAGTCAAATGTAAAGTCAAATACAGAAACAAGTATAGCTGTAATGGGAATCAACAACCCCTGAACAAGGGGCATCCAACAGACAACACGTTGTTAATCTCAGAGTTAAACATTTTTAATTAGCAAAGTGCAAAGGCCTCCACCACCTACGCATAAACCCTCGGTTCTGTGCCATCATGTCAAACACTGCCATTATAAGGGCTGTCCCAACACCAAATGACTGTTCTGATCACTTCCTCAAAATCAAGGCAAACAAGCTTCACTCCGTGATGTACCTGCTCTGAATGAGAGCTCCAGCTAATTAAAGCCAAACAGCTGTAAAACATAAATTGAATTGTTTAATTCAGGCCTCTTCAGTCTTATATCCGTATATGAGTGCAGCATTCTAATAGGGTAGATGTAATGAAAAAATTCAACTCTACCCCTCCTCTTCCTCTTCCCTCCCTTTCTCATTAAAACTGTTAAATGTGACTCTGTGATTGGTCGCACGGCTAAGCAGTGCGATCAGGGCTACAATGACACAACCAGAGCTGTAAATTTCCACCTGACAATGGCCATGAGAGAGAGCGAGAGAGAGCGAGAGAGAGAGAGAGAGAGCGACAGACAGAGACAGACAGAGATATACTTAGTAGTCAGCAGATGTCTGTCACTGTGGAAAATGTCATGTCTTTATCTCTTTCCATCTGCCAGTCTGCTGTGTCTTAAACTTCTCTCTTTGTCTCTCCTTTATTAACTCTGTCTGGCTTATTACGATATTTTCACGTGGCGGGGTCGAAGACAAGACTACAGTTTAGATAAATCTCAGGTCTTTTTTCTGTTGCTGCCTACAGACACGCACATTTTGCTATCTGCGTCTTGTTTCCAAAATAATACTTTTACAATGAACATATTTTCGACACAGAAGCTTGCTGCTGCAGAGATGCTACTGCTATCCCTATCTTTCTACATTAAGTTTGCCTTTGAAAAATACAATACAATAAAAGCCTTGTTAACAAAGGAATTCTGTCCACAGAGTTAAAAGATTGATATATTATTTTATATCTAACATATTCTACAGATATTGACATTGAAACTGTAGTGAAAGGTGTATATGCTGCTGATATAATGTCAATATAACCATTCATAAATGATTTTCACTGTCTATTTTTGCTAAAAACCGTGTGCGTCACACAGATAAAAATAGGCGAAACTCTGAATTTGTAGACGATGCCCTGCTCACGCAGGTTGTGTAGCGGCTCTAACCTGTTGACATGGAAGCCCAAATGAAAAAGAAAGAGGTTCTGCGACGCACACGAGTTGCTCACACTGGCAGTGTGTCACGGGAGGACATGCTTCTTAGTGCGGAAATATTTCCTGTAAAATTTGCTCAACGACTCAATTGTTTTCTCTCTAACTTGGGAAGCCTTTTTTTACTGTTTTTGTGGATTCTCATACAAACTGCCCAACAAAGTCAGCCGTTTCTGCCCATGTTCAACTGTCCTTATAATGTGTGTATCTATATATTTTGTGTCTAAGGAACCCTCAAACAAGTTAATGATATCAGAAAAACAAATGTACATTTATCTTCATGACTAACTTCCTCAACAGTTAATAAATAACACTAAGAGGAAATAACTGGCTTTGTGTGTGTGTGTGAGTGTGAGAGAGAGAGAGAGTGTGTAAGTATTTCCTGCTTGGAGAGACAGTGGATTCCATTATGTCTGTGACAGACTGTAATGGCCATGATTACTTCCAGTATGGAAGTGGACTGACATATTAATATGACTAGAAAACCAGCTACAGCGTATAAGAGATAAGAGGAAACACTGGCTAATGCTCTTCGACCACTGAGAGAAAGGAATAATTGTTGAATTAATTGATGGGAAGAAAGTTTGAAATCTATAACATGATGTAAGATATCCTAAATTAACTATATTTGCAGAATAGCATCAATTTTAGACACAAACTGTGTTTTGCTCATTTTAAAAGGTTATTTTCAGTTCAGGTGCGGTCCCTTTCTGATAGTGTATCATGTTTACACATGTACTTTCCTGTAATAGCCTTATTTTGGTTCATTTTGGAACAGCAAAACGTCTGAAGAATCTTTTATCAATACCACAACCAATAATAATAATAATAATAATAATAATAATAAGCTAATAGGATGGACACCACTATAGAGTTTGGTGTCACCAGCAAATAAATGAAAGTCAAAATGCCCCATAGTAACATGTAAAGATGGAGAGGACCCAGAATTAAGCCTTGTGGTACTCCACGGACGATTTTGTTACCGCTACCACTGAAATTCTGAGGGAAATATATAAAATGAGAGATAGGCTTGGTTACATAGCTCACAATACAATGCAGCAGTAAACCCTTTCTTATTAATTTATCTCTAAGGAAAACAGTCAAATAAAGCAAACGTGAGCATTACTTCTACATTGAGCTCTTCTTTGGAATAATTTGGCATATTCAGCCATCTACAGCACTTCACAATATCTATGTTGCTGAACAAGATGGAGAAGAAAGGGGATGATAATGAGAGTTGATGAGATCCACAGTCAATACTGATGCACATTAATATAAATTATTAAAGAAGTAATCTGTGTATTAATATTAATAGAGAGATAATAGTTTGTTTTGCTACTTTATGTTTCTGCGTCCTCCTTCAATCCTGTCGAGTTCACAAAAGCTTTAACAACTGTGCAACATTTACTCTCTGCTAGCGCTTTATAACAATTCAAATCCTGTATGTACAGTAGGTGATCTATGTTGTATTACCAGTTATTTTATCGTAGTTACTTCCTCTCAATACTTTATCATGGGTGCTAGATCATCATTATGCATACCATGATGATGGTATGTGTCTAGAATATAATGTTGTAGCAATCCTTTTTACATTGCTGACAAACACAAATACAAATTACATGCCGTATGCCAAATAGTAAATGAACATTAAAAAAATGCTTTCTAAGACCAGAACACCTACCGTTGTCAATACATGCTTCTCTTGAGTTGCATTAAGCCTTGTGCCAAAAAGTGGATCTTGCGTTTTTAGCCCCAGTTATGTGTTCATAAACACATAAACATCTGGGTAGTCACCCATGATCATGAGCTTTGGGAAATGACTAAGATTATATCTTAGATACAAGCGCCTGAAACAAATTACTTCCCAGGGTGGCTGGGCTCACCTTTATGGTGCAGACACACTGGATCCTTTGACTGATGTCAAGTTGACGGATCCGGACATATAGTGCATGATAGATACGCCAAGGCTAGTCGACTGACCGTTATCTGAATTTGCATAAACATAGCTTGAGTTCAACTTTATAGAAATGTAGTCCATCCAGCGCAGGAGGTTCAAGAAACTCAGATCAAACGGGCATGTTGAAAATGGCAGATCCAAAACCAAGCACTGCCCAGCTCACAGTTTTGTCACCCATCAGCTGGAGGTGGAGCGTTAGGTGGTTCGGATGTGTTTAGATGCGGTCTTGCAAGATTCTGTGTGTCGGCACCAGAAGAGATCGGACAATTTGAGAACCTCTGTTCCTTTGCTTAAGCTGAGCTGGTTCCAGGACCTGATTTGGATGCTTCCTGGACAATTCACTGACACCTCAGCATCCCCCAGGAAGAGCTGGACAACGTACAGGGAGAGACGTACTGTATGGGCTCTACCTTGCTTACCCGGACCCGCATAAGCAGCAGAGTATGGATGAAACTAAGTGGTCAGCATGAGCAGAAGTAGCTGCCATGACTAGTCAGCCAAAGTTAAGAGTGCCACCTAGGGAAGCTCCATCAGAAAACCCAAACTGGAAAATGTGACAACGTGGAGTAATGTGCAGATTCACATTTCCAGTAAAGAGAGTTGTCAGTAGGTTATGAAGGCGGTGAAAGTCATCGGAGCTACCGCCATAAATTCTCAGATGACAGCACTGATGTATTAGTAAGAAATGTTGTTGTTGCGTACAAAGTGACCTCCAGAGAGTGATACTGCCCGTGGGAACCGCAATGAACTGTGGGACGATTTAAAGCTTAGGCCAAAGGCTCACTGTAAAACATAGAGACTCATTGTCTGGTGTTGTGTGTGTGTGTGTGTGTGTGTGTCTTCTAGACCCAGACTCATATAGTGACTTCAGAACCCAGCCAGCACTACACACACACACTCACTTACCACTTACATAACACACTCTCCTATTTTAAGACCATGTACATTTCCACTGGGCTGACCGCCTATTAAATCCCCTCCTCTCCTCCGCTCCACATTTCTTTCACTCCCTGTCCCCCCCCCATTCTCCTCCTCTCCTTTGTGTCCTTTCCACATGTCCTCCAACTCCTCTCCTTCAATATGTCATTTACCATATTTGATCTTTTCCAGTCCTCTTTATATTTACTTCATCATGTATCCCTCCCCATGTTTCCCCCTCCTTCTTCCTCTCGACCTCCTCATCACTTCCAATTCCTCTTTCTGCTTCTTCTCCTCCTCCCTCCTCCCTCTTCTGCTTACTAACACTTTTCCTCCTGTGTCATTTAATCAGGTCCTCCTCATTGTCTCTTTGTCCTTACACTTATCATCTCAGTTACTCCCTCCTTCACATCCT